AGATCGGTGGATCGCTAGATCACTGGATATGTAGATCAATAGATCAATAGATCTGTGCTTAGGTTCATCGCTAGATCGCTAGATCGGTGGATCGCTAGATCACTGGATCTGTAGATCAATGGATCAATAGAACTGTACTTTGGTGGATCGCTAGATGACTAGATCGGTGGATCACTAGATCGCTGGATCTGTAGATCAATGGATCAATAGATCTGTAATTTGGTGGATCACTAGATCTCTCGATCAGTAGATCAATAGATCTGTAGTTTGGTGGATCGCAGGATCGCTAGGCTAAGGGATCGCTAGATCGTTGAATCTGTAGATTAATGGATGAATAGATCTGAAGTTTGGTGGATCACCAGATCGGTAGATCTGTAGATAGCTGGATATGTAGATCAACACATCAATAGATCTGTACTTTTCTGGATCGCTATATCACTAGATGGGTGGATCGCTAAGTCGCTGGATCTGTAAATCAATGGATTAATAGATCTCTGCTTCGGTTGATCGCTAGATCGCTAGATCACTAGATCGGTGGATCGCTAGATCGCTGGATCTACAGATCAATGGATCAATAGATCCGTAGTTTGGTACATCGCTAGATCCCTGGATCTATAGATCAATAGATCAACAGATCTAAACTTTGGTGGATCACTAGATCGGTGGATCAGGAGATCGCTGGCTTTGTAGATGAATGAATCAATAGATCTGTACTTTGGTGGATTGCTATATCACTAGGTCGGTCGATCGCTATATCGCTGGATATACAGATCAATGGATCAATAGATCTGTGCTTTGGTTGATCGCGAGATCGGTGGATCGCTAGATCACTGGATCTGTAGATCAATGGATCAATAGATCTGTACTTTGGTGGATCGCTAGATCGCTGGATCTGTAGATAAATGGATCAATAGATTTGTACTATTGTGGATCGCCAGATCGGTGGATTGCTAGATCGCTGGATCTGTAGATCAATGGATAAATAGATTTCTACTTCGGTGGATCGCTAGATCTCTGGATCTGTAGATCAATGGATTAATAGATTTGTACTTTTGTGCATCGCTAGATCGGTGGACCGCTAGATCGCTGGCTTTGTAGATGAATGGATCAATAGATCTGTACTTTTGTGCATCGCTAGATCACTAGATGGGTGGATCGCTAAGTCGCTGGATCTGTAGATCAATGGATCAATAGATCTGTACTTTGGTGGATCGCTAGATCGCTGGATATGTAGATCAATGGATCAATAGATCTGTGCTTTGGTTGATCGCTAGATCGCTAGATCGGTGGATCGCTAGATCACTGGATCTTTACATCAATGGATCAATAGATCTTTACTTTGGTGGATCGCTAGATCGCTGGATCTGTAGATCAATGGATCAATAGATTAGTACTTTTGGATCTTTAGATCAATCCGTGATCAATGGATCAATAGATTTCTAGTTCGGTTGGATCCCTTTGGATCAATAGATTTGTGGATCGCTAGATCGGTGGATCGCTAGATCGCTGGCTATGTAGATGAATGGATCAATAGAACTGTGCTTTGGTTGATCGTTAGATCGCTATATCGGTGAATCGCTAGATCACTGGATCTGTAGATCAAAAGATCAATAGATCTGTACTTTAATGGATCGCTACATCGCTGGATCTTTAGATCAATGGATCAATTGATTTGTACTTTTGTGGATCGCTAGATCGGTGGATCGCTAGATCGCTGGATCTGTAGATCAATAGATCAATAGATTTCAAGTTCGGTGGATCGCTAGATCGCTGGATATGTAGATCAATGGATCAATAGATTTTTACTTTTGTGGATCGCTAGATCGCTGGCTCTGTAGATGAATGGATCAATAGATGTGTACTTTGGTGGATTTGTACTGTAGATTTCAATAGATTTGTACTTTTGTGGATCGCTAGATCGGTGGATCGCTGGATCTGATCAATGGATAAATAGATTTCTAGTTTTGTGGATCTAGATAGATCAATGGATCAATAGATTTGTATTTTTGTGGATCGCTAGATCGGTGGATCGCTAGATCGCTGGCTCTGTAGATGAATATATCAATAGATCACTGGATCTGGATCGCTAGATCAATGGATCAATCAGATCTGTAGATCAATGGATCAATAGGATTTGGTGCTACATCTAGATCGCTGGATCTTTAGATCAATGGATCAATAATTTGTTTTTTGTGGATCGCTAGATCGGTGGATCGCTAGATCACTGGATCTGTAGATCAATGGATCAATAGATTTTTACTTTGGTGGATCGCTAGATCGCTGGATCTGTAGATCAATGGATCAATAGATTTTTACTTTTGTGGATCCCTAGATGGATCAACTGGGTACTGTAGATGAATAGATCAATAGATGTCTGTGCTTTGGTTGATCCTTTGGTGGATCACTAGATCACTGGATCAATAGGTGGTGGATCCCTAGATGGATCAATGGATCTTTGGATCAATGGATCAATTTTTGGATCTTTTGTGGATCGCTAGATCGGTGGATCAATTGATTTGATCGCTAGATGGATCGCTGGATCTGGATCTGTAGATCAATGGATAAATAGATTTCTGGATCAATTTTTTTACTTTTGTGGATCGCTAGACTGGCTCTGGATGAATGGATCAATAGATGTGTACTTTTGGTGGATCGATCACTAGATCTGGATCTAGATAGATCAAATGGATCAATAGATTTTGTATTTTTCGCTGGATCGGGTGGATCGCTAGATCGGGATCTGGATCAATGGATAAATAGCTTTCTAGTTGGGTGGATCGCTCTGTGGATGAATATATCAATGGATCTGTTTGTATTTTGGTTGATCGCTGATCCTTCTCTGTAGATGAATATATCAATAGATCTGTGCTTTGGTTGATCGCTGGATCGCTAGATCACTGGATCTGTAGATCAATGGATCAATAGATCTGTACTTTGGTGGATCGCTAGATCGCTGGATATGTAGATCAATAGATCAATAGATCTGAGCTTTGGTTGATCGCTAGATCGCTAGATCAGTGGATCGCTAGATCACTGGATCTGTAGATCAATGGATCAATAGATCTTTACTTTGGTGGATCGCTAGATCGCTGGATCTGTAGATCAATGGATCAATAGATTAGTACTTTTGTGGATCGCTAGATCGGTGGATCGCTAGATCGCTGGATCTGTAGATCAATGGATCAATAGATTTCTAGTTCGGTGGATCCCTAGATCGCTGGATCAACAGATTGGTACTTTAGTGGATCGCTGGATCGGTGGATCGCTAGATCGCTGGCTCTGTAGATGAATGGATCAATAGAACTGTGCTTTGGTTGATCGTTAGATCGCTAGATCGGTGAATCGCTAGATCACTGGATCTGTAGATCAATGGATCAATAGATCTGTACTTTAATGAATCGCTAGATCGCTGGATCTTTAGATCAATGGATCAATAGATTTGTACTTTTGTGGATCCCTAGATCAGTGGATCGCTAGATCGCTGGATCTCTTGATCAATGGATCAATAGATTTCTAGTTCGGTGGACAGCTAGATCGCTGGCTCTGTAGATGAATGGATCAACAGATGTGTACTTTTGTGGATCGCTATATCACTAGATCGGTGGATCGCTAGATCGCTGGATCTGTAGATCAATGGATCAATAGATCTGTGCTTTGGTTGATCGCTAGATCGCTAGATCAGTGGATCGCTAGGTCAGTGGATCTGTAGATCAATGGATCAATAGATCTGTACTTTGGTGGATCCCTTGATCGCTGGATCTGTAGATCAATGGATCAATAGATTTGTACTTTTCTGGATCGCTAGATCGCTGGATCTGTAGATCAATGGATAAATAGATTTCTAGTTCGGTGGATCGCTAGATCGCTGGATCTGTAGATCAATGGATCAATAGATTTGTATTTTTTGTGGATCGCTAGATCCTTGGCTCTGTAGATGAATATATCAATAGATCTGTGCTTTGGTTGATCGCTGGATCGCTAGATCACTGGATCTGTAGATCAATGGATCAATAGATCTGTACTTTGGTGGATCGCTAGATCGCTGGATATGTAGATCAATAGATCAATAGATCTGTGCTTTGGTTGATCGCTAGATCGCTAGATCGGTGGATCGCTAGATTACTGGAATAGTAGATCAATGGATGAATAGATCTTTACTTTGGTGGATCGCTAGATCGCTGGATCTGTAGATCAATGGATCAATAGATTTCTAGTTCGGTGGATCCCTAGATCGCTGGATCAATAGATTTGTACTTTTGTGGATCGCTAGATCGGTGGATCGCTAGATCGCTGGCTCTGTAGATGAATGGATCAATAGAACTGTGCTTTGGTTGATCGTTAGATCGCTAGATCGGAGAATCGCTAGATCACTGGATCTGTAGATCAATGGATCAATAGATCTGTACTTTAATGGATCGCTACATCGCTGGATCTTTAGATCAATGGATCAATTGATTTGTACTTTTGTGGATCGCTAGATCGGTGGATCGCTAGATCGCTGGATCTGTAGATCAATGGATAAATAGATTTCTAGTTCGGTGGATCGCTAGATTGCTGGATCTGTAGATCAATGGATCAATAGATTTGTATTTTTTGTGGATCGCTAGATCGGTGGATCGCTAGATCGCTGGATCTGTAGATCAATGGATCAATAAATTTCTAGTTCGGTGGATCCCTAGATCGCTGGATCAACAGATTTGTACTTTTGTGGATCCCTAGATCGGTGGATCCCTAGATCGCTGGCTCTGTAGATGAATGGATCAATAGATCTGTGCTTTGTTTGATCGCTAGATCGCTAGATCGGTGAATCGCTAGATCACTGGATCTGTAGATCAATGGATCAATAGTTCTGTACTTTAATGAATCGCTAGATCGCTGGATCTTTAGATCAATGGATCAATAGATTTGTACTTTTGTGGATCCCTAGATCAGTGGATCGCTAGATCGCTGGATCTCTTGATCAATGGATCAATAGATTTCTAGTTCGGTGGATCGCTAGATCGCTGGCTCTGTAGATGAATGGATCAATAGATGTGTACTTTTGTGGATTGCTATATCACTAGTTCGGTGGATCGCTAGATCGCTGGATCTGTAGATCAATGGATCAATAGATCTGTGCTTTGGTTGATCGCTAGATCGCTAGATCAGTGGATCGCTAGATCACTGGATCTGTAGATCAATGGATCAATAGATCTGTACTTAGGTGGATCAATTTATCGCTGGATCTGTAGATATATGGATCAATAGATTTGTACTTTTGTGGATCGCCAGATCGGTGGACCGCTAGATCTTTGGCTTTGTAGATGAATGGATCAATAGATCTGTACTTGTGTGGATTGCTAGATCACTAGATGGGTGGATCGCTAAGTCGCTGGATCTGTAGATCAATGGATTAATAGATCTGTGCTTTGCTTGATCGCTAGAACGCTAGATCGGTGAATCGCTACATCACTGAATCTGTAGATTAATGAATCAATAGATCTGTACTTTGGTGGATCGCCAGATCGCTTGATCTGTAGATCAATGGATCAATAGATTTTTATTTTTTGTGGATCGCTAGATCGGTGGATCACTAGATCGCTGGCTCTTTAGATGAATATATCAATAGATCTGTGCTTTCGTTGATCGCTGGATCGCTAGATCGGTGCATCGCTAGATCACTGGATCTGTAGATCAATGGATCAATAGATCTGTACTTAAGTGGATCGCTAGATCGCTGGAAATGTAGATCAATGGATCAATAGATCTGTGCTTTCGTTGATCGCTAGATCGCTACATCGGTGGATCGCTAGATCACTGGTTCTCTAGATCAATGGATCAATAGATCTGTACTTTGGTGGATCGCTAGATCCCTGGATCTGTAGATCAATGGATCAATAGATTTGTACTTTTGTGGATCGCTAGATCGCTGGATCTGTAGATCAATGGATCAATAGATTTGTATTTTTTCTGGATCGCTAGAACGGTGGATCGCTAGATCACTGGCTCTGTTGATGAATATATCAATAGATCTGTGCTTTGGTTGATCGCTAGTTCGCTAGATCGGTGGATCGCTAGATCACTGGATCTGTAGATCAATGGATCAATAGATCTGTACTTTAATAAATCGATAGATCGCTGGATCTTTAGATCAATGGATCAATAGATTTGTACTTTTGTGGATCGCTAGATCGCTGGATCTGTAGATCAATGGATCAATAGATTTCTAGTTCGGTGGATCACTAGATCGCTGGATCTGTAGATCAATGGATCAATAGATTTGTACTTTTGTGGATCGCTAGATCGGTGGATCACTACATCGGTGGATCGCTAGATCGCTGGCTCTGTAGATGAATGGATCAATAGATGTGTACTTTGGTCGATCGCTATATCACTAGATCGGTGGATCGCTAGATCGCTGGATATGTAGATCAATGGATCAATAGATCTGAGCTTTGGTTGATCGCTAGATCGGTGGATCGCTAGATCACTGGATCTGTAGATCAATGGATCAATAGATCTGTACTTGAGTGGATCGCTAGATCACTAGATGGGTGGATCGCTAAGTCGCTGGATCTGTAGATCAATGGATTAATAGATCTGTGCTTTGGTTGATCGCTAGAACGCTAGATCGGTGAATCGCTACATCACTGAATCTGTAGATTAATGGATCAATAGCTCTGTACTTTGGTGGATCGCCAGATCGCTTGATCTGTAGATCAATGGATCAATAGATTTTTATTTTTTGTGGATCGCTAGATCGGTGGATCGCTAGATCGCTGACTCTGTAGATGAATATATCAATAGATCTGTGCTTTCGTTGATCGCTGGATCGCTAGATCAGATCAAGGAATCTGTAGATCAATGGATCAATGGATCTGTACCTAAGTGGATCGCTACATCGCTGGAAATGTAGATCAATGGATCAATAGATCTGTGCTTTGGTTGATCGCTAGATCGCTACAGTGGTGGATCGCAAGATCACTGGTTCTGTACATCAATTGATCAATAGATCTGTACTTTGGTGGATCGCTAGATCCCTGGATCTGTAGATCAATGGATCAATAGATTTGCACTTTTGTGGATCGCTAGATCGCTGGATCTGTAGATGAAGGAATCAATAGATTTGCATTTTTGTGGATCGCTAGATCAGTGGATTGCTAGATCGCTGGCTCTAGAGATGAATGGATCAATAGATCTGTGCTTTGGTTGATCGCTAGATCGCTCGGTCGGTGGATCGCTAGATCACTGGGACTGTAGATCAATGGATCAATAGATCTGTACTTTGGTGGATCGCTAGATCGCTGGATCTATAGATCAATGGAGCAATAGATTTCTAGTTCGGTGGATCGCTAGATCGCTAGATCTGTAGATCAATGGATTAATAGATTTGTACTTTCGTGGATCGCTAGATCGCTGGCTCTGTAGATGAATGGATGAATAGATCTGTGGTTTAGTTGATCGCTAGATCCCTAGATCCCTAGATCGGTGGATCGCTAGATCACTGGATCTGTAGATCAATGGATCAATAGATCTGTACTTTGGTGGATCGCTAGATCGCTGGATCTGTAGATCAATGGATCAATAGATTTGTACTTTTCTGGATCGCTAGATCGGTGGATCCTGGATCTGTAGATCAATAGATAAATAGATTTCTAGTTCGGTGGATCGCTAGATCGCTGGATCTGTAGATCAATGGATCAATAGATTTGTATTTTTTGTGGATCGCTAGATCGCTGGCTGTGTAGATGAATATATCAATAGATCTTTGCTTTGGTTGATCGCTGGATCGCTAGATCGGTGGATCGCTAGATCACTGGATCTGTAGATCAATGGATCAATAGATCTGTACTTTGGTGGATCGCTAGATCGCTGGATCTGTAGATCAATGGATCAATAGATTTGTACTTTTGTGGATCGCTAGATCGGTGGATCGCTAGATCGCTGGATCTGTAGATCAATGGATCAATAGATCTGTACTTTAATAAATCGATAGATCGCTGGATCTTTAGATCAATGGATCAATAGATTTGTACTTTTGTGGATCGCAAGATCGCTGGATCGCTAGATCGCTGGATCTGTAGATCAATGGATCAATAGATTTCTAGTTCGGTGGATCACTAGATCGCTGGATCTGTAGATCAATGGATCAATAGATTTGTACTTTTGTGGATCGCTAGATCGCTGGATCTGTAGATGAAGGAATCAATAGATTTGTATTTTTTGTGGATCGCTAGATCAGTGGATTGCTAGATCGCTGGCTCTAGAGATGAATGGATCAATAGATCTGTGCTTTGGCTGATCGCTAGATTGCTCGGTCGGTGGATCGCTAGATCACTGGGACTGTAGATCAATGGATCAATAGATCTGTACTTTGGTGGATCGCTAGATCCCTGGATCTGTAGATCAATGGATCAATAGATTTGCACTTTTGTGGATCGCTAGATCGCTGGATCTGTAGATGAAGGAATCAATAGATTTGTATTTTTTGTGGATCGCTAGATCAGTGCATTGCTAGATCGCTGGCTCTAGAGATGAATGGATCAATAGATCTGTGCTTTGGTTGATCGCTAGATCGCTCGGTCGGTGGATCGCTAGATCACTGGGACTGTAGATCAATGGATCAATAGATCTGTACTTTGGTGGATCGCTAGATCGCTGGATCTATAGATCAATGGATCAATAGATTTCTAGTTTTGGTGGATCGCTAGATCGCTGGATCGCTGTAGATCAATGGATTAATAGATTTGTACTTTTTTCTAGATCGATGGATCGCTAGATCGCTGGCTCTGTAGATGAATGGATGAATAGATCTGTGGTTTTTGTTGATCGCTAGATCTCTAGATCGCTAGATCGGTGGATCGCTAGATCACTGGATGTGTAGATCAATGGATCAATAGATCTGTAGATCGGTGGATCGCTAGATCGCTGGATCTGTAGGTCAATGGATCAATAGATTTGTACTTTTGTGGATCGCTAGATCGGTGGATCGCTAGATCGCTGGATCTGTAGATCAATGGATAAATAGATTTCTAGTTCGGTGGATCGCTAGATCGCTGGATCTGTAGATCAATGGATCAATAGATTTGTATTTTTTGTGGATCGCTAGATCGCTGGCTCTGTAGATGAATATATCAATAGATCTGTGCTTTGGTTGATCGCTGGATCGCTAAATCGGTGGATCGCTAGATCACTGGATCTGTAGATGAATGGATCAATAGATCTGTACTTTGGTGGATCGCTAGGTCGCTGGATCTGTAGATCAATGGATCAATAGATCTGTGCTTTGGTTGATCGCTAGTTCGCTAGATCGGTGGATCGCTAGATCACTCGATCTGTAGATCAATGGATCAATAGATCTGTACTTTAATAAATCGATAGATCGCTGGATCTTTAGATCAATGGATCAATAGATTTGTACTTTTGTGGATCGCAAGATCGCTGGATCGCTAGATCGCTGGATCTGTAGATCAATGGATCAATAGATTTCTAGTTCGGTGGATCACTAGATCGCTGGATCTGTAGATCAATGGATCAATAGATTTGTAATGAATCGCTAGATCGCTGGATCTTTAGATGAATGGATCAATAGATTTGTATTTTGTGGATCGCTAGATCAGTGGATTGCTAGATCGCTGGATCTGTAGAGATGAATGGATCAATAGATCTAGTGCTTCGCTGATCGTTGATGAATGGATCAATAGATTGCTTTGGTGAATCGCTATATCACTAGATGGATCGATCTAGATCACTGGGACTGTAGATCAATGGATCAATAGATCTGTACTTTGGTGGATCGCTAGATCGCTGGATCTATAGATCAATGGATCAATAGATTTCTAGTTCGGTGGATCGCTAGATCGTTAGATCTGTAGATCAATGGATTAATAGATTTGTACTTTTGTGGATCGCTAGATCGGTGGACCGCTAGATCGCTGGCTTTGTAGATGAATGGATCAATAGATCTGTACTTTTGTGGATCGCTAGATCACTAGATGGGTGGATCACAAAGTCGCTGGATCTGTAGATCAATGGATCAATAGATTTGTACTTTTGTGGATCGCTAGATCGGTGGATCGCTAGATCGCTGGCTCTGTAGATGAATGGATCAATAGATGTGTACTTCGGTGGATCCCTCTTTCACTAGATCGGTGGATCGCTAGATCGCTGGATATGTAGATCAATGGCTCAATAGATTTGTACTTTTGTGGATCGCTAGATCGCTGGCTCTGTAGATGAATGGATCAATAGATGTGTACTTTGGTGGATCGCTAGATCGGTGGATCGCTAGATCACTGGATCTGTAGATTAATGGATCAATAGATCTGTACTTAGGTGGATCGCTTGATCGCTCGATCTGTAGATCAACGGATCAATAGATTTGTACTTTTGTGGATCGCTACATCGGTTGATCGCAAGATCGCTGGCTTTGTAGATCAATGGATCAATAGATCTGTACTTTTGTGGATCGCTAAGTCGCTGGATCTGTAGATCAATGGATTAATAGATCTGTGCTTTGGTTGATCGGTAGATCGGTAGATCGGTGAATCGCTAGATCACTGGATCTGTAGATCAATGGATCAATAGATCTGTACTTTAATGGATTGCTACATCGCTGGATCTTTAGATCAATGGATCAAGTGATTTGTACTTTTGTGGATGGCTAGATCGGTGGATCGCTAGATCGGTGGATCGCTAGATCGCTGGATCTGTAGATGAATAGATCAATAGATTTCTAGTTCGGTGGATCGCTAGATCGCTGGATGTGTAGATCAATAGATCAATAGATTTGTACTTTTGTGGATCGCTAGATCGCTGGCTCTGTAGATGAATGGATCAATAGATCTGTACTTTTCTGGATCGCTAGATCACTAGATGGGTGGATCGCTAAGTGGCTGGATCTGTAGATCAATGGATTAATAGATCTGTGCTTTGGTTGATCGCTAGATCGCTAGATCGGTGGATCGCTAGATCACTGCATCTGTAGATCAATGGATCAATAGATCGTAGTTTGCTAGATCGCTAGATCGGTGGATCTGTAGATCAATGGATCAGTAGATCTGTAGTTTGGTAGATCGCTAGATCTGTGGATCTGTAGATCAATGGATCAGTAGATCTGTAGTTTGGTTGATCGCTAGATCGGTGGATGTGTAGATCGATGGATCGGTGGATCGCTGGATCGTTGGATCTGTAGAGCAACGGATCAGTGGATCTGTAGATCGATGGGTCTGTGGATCGGTAGATTGGTGGAGCCGTAGATCAATGGATCTGTAGTTGTGTAGAACGGTGGATCGGTGAATCTGTAGAACAATGGATGGTCAGTAGATTTGTAGATCGCTAGATCGGTTGATCTGTAGATCGATGGATTGGTTGATTGCTAGATGGGTGGATTTGTAGGTCACCGGATCCGTAGATCTGTAGAACGGTGGATCGGTGGATCGGTGGATCTTTAGAACAATGGATCGTGAGTGGATTTGTAGATCGCTAGATCGGCGAATCTGTAGATTAATGGATCAGTAGGTCTGTAGATCGGTGGAATTAGTAGATCCGTTGATCGGTGGATCTGCAGATCAGTGGCTCGGTAGATCGCTAGAACGGTGGATCTGTAGACTGAATTAATGAATCCGTGGGTCTGTATGAAGGTGAAGGCAACCGAGAAACAAGTCACCAGCCAACAAACCCAAGAGCCAGTGATCAGGGGAAGAGGACTTTTTTTGCCCCTTCCCCTCCACCCCGCGCCAGTCGAAATCAAGAACTTGCTTGCAGGCTGCCAACTCGGCTCCTTGTTTGTTCTTATCACGCTGCCTTCCCAATCCCCTTTGGGTTCTTCAATCCGGTAATCCCGAACCAAAATTTCGTGCAATTCAGTAATCCCAAGGGTTACTTTTGGCATCCCACCTTCCGCGCATACTTTCATTCCCGAATGCCGCCCTGACTTTGCTTTACAATCCCGAATCCCGAACCTTAAATAAGGAAAATCCCGGATCCCGAAAAACCTATTGGGGACCCTCTAAGATCCCGGGGAGACTCCCATATAAAACTGACGGGGATGCTCGTCGGAAAATTCACATTGAATCCGTAAGGGAGACCAATGTGGGTGTGGCTCGAAATTAAACTGACCCCTAAGGGAGATTACTGTGTGGTTAGTGTCAGGGCAGTTTTTATGCTCAGCAATAAGCGATACCTGAATGGGCAAATATGTTGACTTTCCATTCCAAATACCGTAATTGAAACCAAAATATGCAATTTTCACGCCAAAGCGAGACGACGAGCATCCCCGTCACTTTCATAAGGGAGTCGCACCCCGGGTCTACAATACCTGATGATGCGTGCAGACTTGATGGGTGGAGTCCCCGTTAAATGCCCTCTCCATTTCCGATCGTCGTTTACGAAACACAAACACACTGTATGTAGTCACTATGGAGGGTGAAGGATGGCGGGTATCAATTACAAAAATAGAAAACTTGTTCCAGCCAACACCGAGTGAATGGTTCGCTGATCTGAAAGAGACAGATTCTCACTTGATTTCAAAGGCCAGGTGGCAGCGAAAATCATGAAAAAAGGGAGACGAAGAAAGAAACCCAACTACAGCAGCCCGCGATGAAGGCGTAGTTTCTGGGTAAGGGAAAGCTGTTTGTTTATGTCTGTAATGTCGGGACCGCCATATTTGATTTTATCGCTGATGAAGATTGGGGAAAGCAGAAATCACAACCCTTGAGGGAGGTGAGGAAGGCGTTAGGGGAAAAGAATGGGGCAAGGAAGGGAAGAGGGAGATGGACAATTTTTCTCTCCTCTGATCCACAGACGATCTAACTTAATTTAGGTCGACCCAAATTAGAGTTTGGTTCGTCTCATGGAAAGTTGGACGTTTGGCCTAGGCCTTAGTGCCGATCAGACCGGTGTCCGCCCCGATTGAAGAGAGCTGATCATGACTGTTAAACAAACTTTACTTACTTGCTGTTGTCATGTTTGGTGTTAACACGGATGTCGGATTGACATGTAGACGATTTGCCCCAAATCTTCAAAACCATGGTATCAAATGACACAGTTGCCTGGTAGCTGAGCAAATCACTGCTAAATTGCGGTTGAAGTAGGACTGATGGCCGAGTATAGAACTCTCTTAATACCGGGACTACATCTGGCTCTAAAGATTACATAAAAGTAGGAGGAGCATGATCGTCTGGGTGATTGCAGTATGACATTACTGTGACTAACAGTACTATACATAAAATATTACAGAATAGTGTCACATCTTTACGTGATTTAGAGTAGAGAAATGCATTGCAGATATAAAATTCAAAATTTTATTTTTCGCTTAGAAAAAATATTGTACACAACGGTAAATCCGATGATAGAAATTTGACCTTCTGTCCCCTGTAGGACAAAACGGCCAGAATTGCATAAATAATTTGTTGGCCGGGGGGGGCGTAATCCCCTATATAAGCCATATAGGTATTTGCCGCCCCAAAGTGTATGGTTTTTGCGCCGTTTTGGTCTGAAAACAGATATAGACTTTGATCATGTCGGTATGGAATCGGGTATGGTATCTAAGGGTACTACAGGAGTGTACGAACGTATTTCTTGTTTCAATACCAAATGAGAAAGAAAGAAAGAGAAATAAGCGAATTCGAAATGGATTTTAAGAACTGTTTTTTGTTGCTGTTCCAATCTAAATAATGATGACAATTTCGTAAAGGCCAGGTCTGAGAATGAGTATGGATTGTAGAGGGCAGGTCTGAATACGGGTGTGAAAAGTGACATTTTTTAGTCTGAAATAGGGTCAGGATTAGGAGAACCGGGCTGCACACCCCCACCAAGAATTCCCAGGAGTAACCTCCCCCCCCCCGAGCATTTTATGCCTGAGCGAAATTAACATATTGAGAAATCTTACCATCATTGCAGTCATCTTCCTCCAATGAACCTATAATCAGATTATATCACAGAATCGTCACAGCAAAAAGATTAATATTCAAATGCTTCGGTGTCCACATGAAACGTGTAGAGTACGCACCCTAATTACCAAAGAACTGAGGCGCATGTGGGCTCCTTTTTCAAGCTGGGTATTCTTTTTGCTTAACATAAGACAACCTCGCACTGATTATCTGAAGAGAAGTTTTTTTTATACAGTGGAGGCAAGTTTTGGAACAGTGAAACTTACCCACAGAATTTCGACAAGCAACTTTCTTAAACGAGTTAAAGATAAAACTAAGTCGCCAAAGTTTTAATTATACAGGGATGTGAATGCTACGCCCGCTGTGATTGGTCGTTCCCCATGATCTATTAGAGCAAGATACATGGATGACGTCATGGGAAACTTGTTTTCTTTGTTTTGTTCAAAATGGCGCGCGGTTTTGAAAGTGTCTGTGAATTTATTTCCCATTAAAGCAAGTGAAAGCCTCCAAACTGTTTAGCACAATAACGAAATGAATTCACTGTGATGCACCTTTTGGCACTCCGGGATTTTCAAGTCTTCTATCTGATAAACTGACCCCTTCTTGCTGACTCCTGAAAGAAACCATGACGAGTTAAGTTTTCTTTTACCTGGATAATGTGCCACCCATCATTTACTACCTCCAAAATCAGGCTCTAGAGAAATCCACAAGTTATGCCACACTTTATCGGATAAAACACCTGCCTCTATTTCTATACAACATAAGGAGTAGAGGGATATTTGATCCCTTCACAACCTTCTATCAAAACGGCTGAAAAAATGCTGTTTAACGATCACAGATTTCTTCATGACAAAAAATGTCGGAAGGAGGATAAGAATGTTTGAACATGGAAAACCAAATGTAAATGCAAAGTTCAGAGAGACGGATAAATAGTCAAACAGGTTCCTCAAACGCGACGCTTGACAAAAAAGTTTCATCTTTTAGAGGGGCCTTAAAAATGATGAAGAGAATGATATAACAACTTCAACGCAATTCACCTACCATGTCTTTGTAGATGTCTGTGTTACAAAAAAAGTTAAAATATCATGTACATCAGGTGTTGACGTATGTCTATTGTGCAGATCAACCCCAGTGTCAACTAACTCTGACATCAGGGCTTTGTATTTAAGGCCATCTACTGTGGGGTAAAGCTGTGAAAGGGGAAAAAGAGGAACATTTAGTGATACTGTTTAATTCTCATATATGTAGCATATACATCTCCCTGAGTGGCCTGCTGGTAGTAGAGAGGTTAAGCATCACGTTTACGTCAAATGGCAAACGCGAATTTGTACCACGTGACCAAGCCTTCCCTTTCATTGTTGTTTACTGTTCATTATTTCTTAATCTACACAGAAATTAGTAGTTTCTCGCAATTTTTATCCATAAGAGTTGCTTTGAGCTGTTTTTAGCTGCTCATTTTCTATTTTGAAAAATTCTCTACTTGAATTTGCCGTATACGTGAAGCGTAAACTCTCTATTGAAGGGGAGGAGGAACGAGGGAATTAATGCGCGTGAGGAATCCCTCCTTCCTCGCGTGCCCTGCATTATCCTTGCGCGCCAAATCCCCTTAGCAATCGTCACTACACTTTGTTATGCTACAGAAGAACTAACGCGGCTGATCGCATTAACGGTTTTTTTTAAGTAAGGAAATGTATGGTCGTTTTGCTGGGCCGAAAAAAGGTGGCCGAAATAACGAGGTAACCGTATTACTGAGGTGGCCGTACCGCGGCGTTCCACAGTAGGTGGCTCGGGTGCTAACTGGAGCATCATTTTTAACCTCCCAATTAAGCAGACGTTCTTTTGACTCGTCATGCAATCCTCCCCAGCGCGCGATGAAACTTTACGATCGCGACTAGTCTCATTGTTTGTTATTGTCACGAACTGACTAATTTTTTGGCAACATACCCGTTTAAAGTTCCCGATATGAAGTTCTTCTTGTTTAGTTTGTAGTAAATACTCCAGGAAGTCATCTGTCAAGCACTTCTTCTTTGATTGATTACACTGGCTGTTCTTTAATGACAATTTAATATTAATCAACTTCTACATCACAGTAATGCTTTCACTCTGGAAGTGGAAGGGTTACGGGTTGTCCAGTACAGAGAAACGGTATCCGGTCACCTCGCCAGAAAACGATCTCGCTACCAACGAAATCCCCACTACGAATAGAACTTAGCTTTATTGTTCTCAATAATATTCAACAAATGAAATGAACGTTTATGAAAAGAAATCCGTTCTTAACCGTTACTTTATTATATTGCAAAGAAATGACAGGTGGTTGTGAAACTTTACTGCCAGTTTATTTTGAAAATCTCTCAAATGTTAAAGTTTACATTCACCGAGCCTGTTACCGGTATGTAAAGCACAAAGAGCATGAGAAGTTCGACGCAAGGATCGTCAGTTAGCATCGACAGACCAGTGTTTGGGTCGACTTAAAATTCGAATAAGTTTCAAGAAAAAGTAAACATTTTGAGTAAGTAATCCTGGGAATTAAACTGTGCTAATTATTCCAGAGTTAATCACTGGTTGCGAAACAATTTCGTTGGTGGCGAGATGACCGTAAACCACAGCTTCCTGGTCATTCACCTAGGACTAACAGTTTTCTTTGTCTCCTTTTTGTCTGATATAAATACGGACAAAAGACCAGGCAGATGATGTGACCCAAGGGAACAACCCCCCTCCCCCTGCCTTGCGCAAGTTAAAGACACCGCCAGAGAAGGAACAAGGCTCTGAAATAATGAATATATGAAAATCATATAAAGGAACTCCGGGGTGAAGGATTAAATAAAAGAAGGTCATCGCAGTTATACTACTTGTTATTCAGAATTTTGGAAATGATGATTTCGTCTAATTTTGAGTTCGGCCCAAATGTAAATTTGCTGCGTCTTACGCGGCCGTAAAAACGTTTAGGATATCACCTTTTTAAAAATGCTACAAACTGGCTTAATAGTTACATAAGTTACCTTGAGTATTTGTTTTTGCTTCAAGAGTTGTAAAGTCTGATAAGTCTCCTGCGACAAGGCATGACTTGAAGAAAGGTTAAATAGTACATTGACAGTGTCTCGAATTGTTCTAGGAGAGATCTCGCCAAACGCAACATCTTTAACCTATTCAAAGAAAATTGATTGAGATTAAACAAAATTTTGAAAGCAGGTTCATTAACCCCATGGACCTGTTGGTTGGTATAACTTTCTGGAAGCTAAAAAACTTTGTTATCGAGTTGCGTTGAATAACAAAGAAATTTTTTGAATGGGTACTGGTAGAAACGCAATGTAAAAAAAACTCTAAAGAGAGAGTACATGTTTAAAGTTTTTGTTATGTCCGCTGAGCACTTACGATTTAATCGGCTTACTAAGCCATATAAGCATGAAACGTAACGGTGACTAGCGTAGAAGAGAAAATGAACCGTGACTTCTTGCAATAAAAAAATTTAATTTTTTTTCGACGCAACAGGTCACACTTTACCTTCATGTTACGTAGCACGCCCATGAACACAATCACCCCAATTTTACAAAATTTCTCTTGACCAGAAAAAAAACTGATGAAATGACAAGCAACGACTAGAGAGTAATAGACTCTTCTTGTTGCGAACTGAATCGTACACTATTTTGTAACTGGCCTTCAGAATACATGGCGTTACAGTTTCCAAACACGAAAAATAAACAGAATGAAGTAATTAGTGGTAGTGTAACAAGGTAATCCTTACCTCCAAAATGACGGGTTCAAGCGTAGAGGTGAATAAAAAACTGACTTCAAGGGGCTGGAAACAACGCTTACACCTGAAATATGAAAACGAAATAGTCCACCGTCAATGATATTCCACATTACACAGCCAGTACATATTGACTAGTATTTGTGTCCAGGTTGTGCAGGGTTAACACAAAAACAAATGGAACAACTCAACATAAAAACATACTGTACCCGCTTTTCATGCATGAGTGCAATTTTGAAATTACTCACTCATCTCTAGGTACTATTTAACTGAATCTATGTGCATCAAATACATTGGTACTTTTCACAATGTTACAAAAAACAGTGCTTACTTCTTACAACAACAACAATAATGATAATAATCATAATCATAACTATTACAATTTCCTCAAATTTGATTGGTGCATTAACTGCTTTATTTTTTACTAATCATTGTATAGGGTGGATGTAATCGGACAGTTACATTAGCCAATCAAATTAAGCGCATTCAGCTAAATCCACCAATCATAGAAGCTATCACAATAACCATAACAACAACCACTTACACTACTAAACTGGCGATTTTCCAAAATGGACGAATTTGTAACACTAGGTCTCCGCCAGTGATATTTTTTTTCCTAATTTTGGACATTTGGTATTCAAATGCTCTTTCACTAAAAAAGGATGCATTTATTTTCTGGGAAATTGTAACGGTTATGATTAATTGGTAACAGGACTTCGTGTGTTCCAATTCGGTCTGTAATCTTACTCGGGATTAAATGGACTCCATCACTTGTATGATTACAGACCGAACTGGAGTCCAGTCAGTCTTATTACCATTATTAATGGTAATAGATAATGGTAATAGGACTGAGTGGAGTCCAATTTGGTCTGTAATCGTACGAGTGATTCACAGTCACAGTAGCGGTCACAGTCAGTCGCAGTCACAGTCAAAGTCACAGTCACAGTTACAGTCATGCAGTCACAATCACAGTCACAGCCACAGTCAGTCACAGTCACAGTTACCGTCATGCAGTCACAGTCACAGTCAGTCACAACCATAGTCACAGTCACAGCCATAGTCACAGTCACAGTCACAGTCACAGTCACAGTCACTGTCATAGTCACAGTCATAGTCATAGTGATAGTCATAGTCATTGTAGTCACAGTAATACGGCACTCTTAAATCAGGACTGGTTTAATAAAAGTACATGTAACAGTGTAGTTTGACCACTTAAGTTTTGAGCCTTCCAATACAAGCAATTCCAGTATTGGGGTTCCACTGTAACTAACAGATTCATTCCAGACTATTGCACACAATGCATACCGAAAGCTTTGTTTCCCCGCTGTCAAATTAGTAACGTAAATTAACAGCGATGGTTCCAATAACAGCAACATTGTCACCAGAAGTTCATCCATCCGCTCTATTGCTTGGTTGGCTTTGTCTTTGCCGAAGTAATTTTCCAAGTGCCGCAAAAATTTTTCAAGGGTCCACTTCTTGAACGTATTCTGAGTAAATTAAAAACAGTACGCAATCAGTGGCGGATCCAGGGGAGGGGCCTGGGGAGGCCGCCGCCCCCCCCTATGTTTAGACCAAACTGAGGCCCGAAGGGCCGAAAAATTTTTTTTGAGACCCCCCCCTTATCTCAGGGTCTGGATGACCAGGGCCTCCTTATCTGAAGGTCTGGATCCGCTACTGCGCAATACTTAGCCCGCGAAAACAGCCGTCCCGCCTCGGTCCTCGCTGCTACGGACGTTTCGCCAGGAGAGACGTCTGCGCCTCAGCGACAGCAATTCAACAGTGATGACGTAAAATCTGTCCAGAATCTGGTCAGGAGCTCTGATTGGTCGACGTGGTAGTTATATTGTTTTAGCTGTTGTTTGCGAACGGCAGACAAAAGACAAACCGCCACAAATGTGAAATGTAACCGCCATAAATTTACTACAAAAGAGTCAATATTCGTGGAATATACTCTTGTTTATTGGAGGAAACATTTGCGTTTTGCTTGTTCCCAGAAAAATACAAAACGTTACCATAATCGTCCAGGATAAACAAAAAAAGGGAACAAATTTACACTAATAACCTCGCGACTACAGGATAAATTATGTAAACATTGATCTACGTCATCAGTATGGAATTCCTGTTGCTGACGCGCAGACGTCTCTCCTGGTAAAACATCCCAAGCGCCTAGAAGCAAGGAGAGACGGCTGTTTTCACATGCTGAAGAACTAATCCTCGCGTTATTTTATATTAGTAAACGTAATTGTATTTTTATGGAGACAAAAAGATTTACACGTGAGGATTTGGCTGTTTGTTCAAGAACAAGAAACTGCGTGGCCGGTCAACATGAGCGGCGAGTGGAGCTTAAGGTCGGTCAAGGCGCCATTCTGGCCGGACACTGTCCTTTAACTAGCCATTATTTTAAGTCCTGGTATCAAAAGTCATCTTGCCACTATGAGTCAGTACTGCACGTATAAAATCAGTCATACAATGGTACAAACCTGCTGGTTACTTTGCAATAGTACATGTCCTTCTTCACGGTATCGGTAGACCCTGAGAGGTGATGCTGAAGTAACAAGTACATACACCTGTACTAAAACAGCTCTGCCTTCAATCTTTATAGCATCTTCTGGATATACTTGTATTACGGCTTTCAGTGGACCCTCTCTTTTGAGAAAACAAAAATAAAAAAATATACAAGATTTAAAAAATGTATTTTTATTGAACAGCGTGTTTTACATTCCTTGCTGGAAATCTCTACGTGGTCTCGACTGAGTGTATTACGTGTAGGAACTGTTTGCTGGGAAAAAAAGTAGTGCCTTTCTGCCCAGTCTTTTCAACAGGTGACTGCAAGACCCTACTAAAGACTCCACCTCATGGACTGAACATAAATAGCAATTGCGGCAACACCATCATTAGCGAAAGACAAACATTATCTTCATCTTTAACATCATATGTGAATGGGTGTAAAGACCAAGGGATGAAAGAGTGGCTATTAATCTACCATTTCCAAGTTCCAGGGGGTGCTGCCATATATAGGCCGAATGAGTATGTACTGCCCTGAAGGGTATGGTTTTCAAGCGGTTTAGTCTAGAATGGGGTAACATTTCCAAGGAAACTGGTCACTTAGTTTAAGACTTTAATCTAGAGGGAAACCGGGAAAATTGTGAGTTAAAGATAGGGCGGAGGAATTTTGGGAGTTTACTCCAGGATACGGTGGCAAAATTTAGCTGAACTAGCTCTGGTATAGGCTAAGGGTCCCAGGGTCTCAACGACACCTCCCCAGCCACAATTTCTTAACTCCCATCCGGGCCAAGATCTAACCGAGGCTACACTGATGGGAGGTGATTTCTTCACCGGCGCCAAGATCTAAATCTAGATCTATGACGATTACTGGACCACCTTAATGCCACCCTTGCTCCCCCAGTACTTAAAAAACTTGAATCGAATATGGTTATTTAAGGCTAACGCCTTAACCATCCATTGGAAAATGTTGATAAAGGGAAATAACAAGGAACAACACGACATAAAGGAGACTGGTTATAAAGTAAAAAAGAATAAACAACAGTACATTTTGCTATGAAAACTGTGAAAAGAACCCCATTTATCAAGTGGTGTTGCCTCTGGTCCAAGACTCTTCAGGGTAAACAACTGAGTACTTTTTAGTTTAAAATCCTGTAAAAACTTGTTCAACTGAGCTGGTAACACATAGCAATGTGAATACGGATACTTTGACTTCTTCTGAAGAGCTGCAATACAAAAAAAAAAAGACCATGACACACTTTATTATTTGTGGTTATTATATACTAATATGGTTTGAAAATACAAGTCAACACTTCAAAATACCAACAGTACGGACCTTAAGTTAGGGTGGAGGACGGCAACCTGAAGTAAGAGTTGCCCGATTTGGGGCTAATTTGCATATTTCTCAGCCGTCCAACCTACGTCGATTGCACGTCGCGACGGTGCGAAAGCTGAGTGCGGCGGTGTCTCGAGAACGTGAGCTTTCTCTTCGTGTTTTTGTCTTCAAAATATCTTTATCTTAACAGAATACCGCTTTAATCTGTTTCTGAAATGTCTAGCTTACTTCAAATGGTAAAGCTTTCTCAATTACTTATTATAACACTATTTTATGACGGAATATAGCACACAGAATTGTCCAAATGGTACAACTGCATGATTAGAATTCCCAGCGATAAAATTATCACATTTAATATTCTCGCATCATGTGAACATCGGCTTCTACCCTTTTCTTTATTCAGGAAGTATTTAGTTCATTTTCTCTGCTTAAGTTATAAGCCAAAATGAAATCACGGATTCATAGGTTCATTTATTCGACAAAATATACCCCTTGACAGCAGGATGAAGGAACTTGGCTTGTTTATCGCGCGCATTGTCCATCGTAATAATTTGTTCTTATTTCAAGAATGTGGAGTGGAGTAAAGTTCACGATTTTCACCTTGCTAAAGACATTCTTGTAAGTGAACCCTACCGCTTCAAGTCCAGAACTGTGTAAGCTCGATTACCACCCCTTGTTCGCCTAAGATTTGTGGAGCGTGGGAAAATGTGGCAAAACGTAGATCGCAAATAGGCTCAATGAAGTGACGAACATTCTCTTTCGAGTAACAAAGCGTTCAACTAGATTTCATTGTACAAGAGAACGAATTCCTTATCTAATATGACACCATCATATCAAAGTAGACCAAAAACTCTCTCGGATCTCTTTCAGGGAACTCTTTCTCTCGAACCTTCAAAAAGTTAAAAGAACGTCTTCGACCGTCACCTCTAATACAACTTAAAGTTTGTTTCTCTCGCCAAGTCAACGTCGTCCCTCCCCAAGCCGCCGCGGCCAAAGTCACCGTCCTCTATGTCGCCGTCCACCTAACCTTAAGGTCGGTAGTGACAGCAATGACACCAGAGAAAACACTGACAAAGGCGAACACAGCGAAAACAGTGACAACAACGACAAATGTGACAACAGTGACAAAAGTTAGAACAGTGACAACAGTAAAATCAGAGCCACCAGTAGCAACAGCGACAACAGTGACAACAGCGCACACGGTGAACGCAGTGAATATACGGTGACAACAGAGCCAACAGTGACAAAAGCGACAACAGTGACAACAACGCCAACAGTGAAAACAGCGACAACAAAGACAATGGTGACAACCGCCACAACAGTAACAACGGCCCCAACAGTGACAACAGCGACAACAATGACAACAGGGACACAGCAAAAACAGCGACAACGGTGACAACAGTGACAACGGCGACAACGGTGACAACAGTAGGGACTTTAAGATAGGTGACTACGGTCGCCTGGGACGGTTAGATGGATGTCACGTCACGCAAAACACGCGTGACGTTTTACCGTCGTCCTTCTGAGACGGTGAAACCGATAAGAGTTCATGCATAGTTAATATCACTTTTCTTCTAAAGCTGAGTAGGCAATGGGTTAAATATGCGTTAGCTTGTGTTTACCTATCGGTGAAATGAAAAAAAAAGGAAAAATGTCTGAGTTCATTCATAACTTAGCTCGCGGCCGCACGGCGACTGCTTGTTTTCTACCTAGTGTCGTCCACCATGGCAGAGGAAAATTGCCGAAAAGAAAGGTAAGGCCCAGTTCAAACGTTAATCTTTTCATGTACGAATTTAATACCTATTTAGGTCGACCCAAATGGTTCGAGGTTGATTCAGGCGTCGAACTTAAAGTGTAATCGAACTCGATTCATTTTCACGATGTTCAATGGTCTAGAATGCTTTAAACAAGTGAAAATAAATTTTAGTAATTTGTGCTTTACTTTCGGCACATAAGAAGTTTGCCGTTTCAACTGGGCCTAAAAGTGATGATTGTAGCAGTCTTTTTTATAACTTAAAACTGTATTTTTATCAAGAAGAGGTTTCTTTATAACTAAAAACGTGTTGGTTAGGAAAGGAAAGTTCAAATAAAAACATCGACTACAGTTTTGAAAACTAGCTAGCTTTAATTTGTACCCTTATTGCTCTGATTGGTATTCTTCGTATAAAAATAAGAAACTCTTCTTCAGTAATTGAGCCTTCTGCGACAGAAATAACAAGCGAGTCTCGCACATGACTTCACCGTCCTCTAAATTGTTGTCCGATCTTAAATTGAAAATTTTCGCGGTTTCTTACCGTCATGGCCCCAGGCCGCCCGTATACGGACAACAGCGACACCACTGACAATGCTGACAACAGTGAGAACAGTGGCAACAGTAACAATAGTGACAACGGTGACAGCAGTGACAACGGTGACAACAGTGACAACTGTGACAACAATGACAACTGTCAACACAGTGAAAACGGTGACAACAGTGACAACCGTGAAAACGCTGAAATCAGTGACAACAGTGATAACCGTGACAACGGTAACAAAAGTGACAACAGGTGACAAGAGACAACAGTAACAGCGACAACGGTGAGAACTGTAACAACAGTGATAACGGCGACAACGGTGACAACAGTGACAAAAGCAACAATGGTGACAACGGTGACAACAGTGACAACCGCCACAACGGCCACAACAACAAAAAGTGACAGCGGTGACAACAGTGAAAACAGTGACAATGGTGACAACTGTGACACCAGTGACAGTAGTGACAACAGTGACAACGGTGACAACTGTGACAACAGTGACAGCAGTGACAACAGTGACAAAGGTGACAACAGTGCCAACGGTGACAACAGTGACAACGGTGACAACAGTGACACTGGTGACAACTATGACAACACTGACAAAAGTGACAACGGTGAAAACGGTGACAACAGTGACAACAGTGACAACAATGACAACTGTGACAACACTGACAAAAGTGATAACGGTGACAACAGTGACAACTGTGACAACAATGACAACTGTCAACACAGTGACAACAGTGACAACAGTGACAAAAGTAACAACGGTCACATCAGTGACAACAGTAAAAACGCTGAAATCAGTGACAACAGTGACAACCGTGACAACGGTAAAAACAGTGACAACGGTCAAAACAGTGACAACAGTGAAAACAGTGACAACGATGACAACCATGACAACAGTGACAACGGTGACAACAGTGACAACGGTGACAAATGTGACGGCGGTGACAGCAGTGACACCAGTGACGACAGTGACCACAGTGACAGCGGTGACAACAGTGAAAACAGTGACAATGGTGACAACTGTGACACCAGTGACAGCAGTGACAACGGTGAAAACGGTCACAACTGTGACAACAGTGACAGCAGTGACAACAGTGACAACAGTGACAACGGTGACAACAGTGACAACGGTGACAACAGTGACAACGGTGACACCAGTGACAAGAGTGTTAACGGTGACAACGGTGAAAACAGTGACAACAGTGAACACAGTGACAACAGTGAGTGCGGTGACAACGGTGACAGCAGTGACGAAAGTGACAACAGTGACAACGGTGACAACGGTGACAACTGTGACAACACTGACAACAGTGACAACGGTACCAACAGTAACAATAGTGACAACAGTAAAAGAAGTGACAACAGTGACAACGGTGACAACAGTCCAAACAAGGACAGCGGTGACAACGGTGACAGCAGTCACCACAGTGACAACAGTGACAACGGTGACAACGGTGACAACAGTGAATACATTGACAACGGTGACAACTGTGACAACAGTGACAGCAGTGACAACGGTGACAACAGTGACAACGGTGACAACTGTGACAACACTGACAACAGTGACAACGGTCCCAACAGTAACAATAGTGACAACGGTAAAAGCAGTGACAACAGTGACAACGGTGACAACAGTGCAAACAAAGACAACACTGACAACAGTGACAACGGTGACAACAGTGTCAACTGTGACAACGGTGACAACAGTGACAACTGTGACAACGGGGACAACAGTGACAACGGTGACAACACTGACAAAAGTGATAACGGTGACAACGGTGACAACGGTGACAACAGTGACAGCAGTGACAACGGTGACAACGGTGACAACAGTGACAACGGTGACAACAGTGACAACAGTGACAACTGTGACAACACTGACAACAGTAACAACGGTGGCAACAGTAACAATAGTGACAACGGTGACAGCAGTGACAACGGTGACAACAGTGACAACTGTGACAACAATGACAACTGTCAACACAGTGACAACGGTGACAACAGTGACAAAAGTGACAACGGTGACATCCGTGACAACAGTAAAAACGCTGAAATCAGTGACAACAGTGACAACTGTGACAACGGTAACAACACTGACAATGGTAAAAACAGTGACGGTGACAACTATGACAGCAGTGACAACGGTGACAATGGTGACAACTGTGACAACAGTGACAACACTGACAACGGTGACAACGGTGACAACAGTGACAACGGTGACAACAGTGACAACGGTGACAACAGTAAAAACAGTGACAACGTGTGACAACAGTGACAGCAGTGACAACGGCGACAAAGGTGACAACTGTGACAACAGTGACAGCAGTGACAACGGTGACAACAGTGACAACGGTGACAGCAGTGACAACGGTGACAACGGTGACAACAGTAACAATAGTGACAACGGTAAAAGCAGTGACAACAGCGACAACAGTGAAACAGTGCAAACAGTGACAACGGTGAGAACTGTGACAACAGTCACAACGGTGACAACAGTGACAACAGTGACAACTGTGACAAAGGTGACAACAGTGACAACAGTGACAACGGTGACAACGGTGACAACAGTGACAACGGTGACAACTGTGACAACACTGACAAAAGTGACAACGGTGACAACTGTGACAACAGTGACAACGGTGACAACAGTGACAGCAGTGACAACGGTGACAACGGTGACAACAGTGACAACAGTGACAACTGTGACAACGGTGCCAACGGTGACAACAGTGACAACTGTGACAACAGTGACAACATTGACAACGGTGACAACGGTGACAACTGTGACAACAGTGACAGCAGTGACAATGGTGACAACAGTGACAACGGTGACAACAGTGACAACAGTGACAACGGTGACAACAGTGACAAGGGTGACAAGAGTGACAACAGCGACAACTGTGACAACGGTGACAACAGTGACAACAGTGACAAGGTGACAACTGTGACAATTGTGACAACACTGACAACAGTAACAACGGTGGCAACAGTAACAATAGTGACAACGGTGAGAATGGTGACAGCAGTGACAAAGGTGACAACAGTGACAACTGTGACAACAATGAAAAGAGTGACAACGATCACAACGGTGACAACTGTGACAACAGTGAAAGCAGTGACAATGGTGACAACAGTCACAACAGTGACAACAGTGACAGCAGTGACAACAGTGACAGCAGTGACAACGGTGACAACAGTGACAACAGTGACAACTGTGACAACGGTGACAACAGTGACAACAGTAACAAAGGTGACAACTGTGACAATTGTGACAACACTGACAACAGTAACAATAGTGACAACGGTGACAACGGTGACAGCAGTGACAACGGTGACAACAGTGAAAACTGTGACAACAATGACTACTGTCAACACAGTGACAACGGTGACAACAGTGACAACGATCACAACTGTGACAACAGTGACAACAGTGAAAACGGTGACAGTGGTGCCAACTCTGACAACGCTGACAACAGTGGCAACGGTGACAACTCTTACAAGAGTGACAACGGTGATTAGGCTGACAAGAGTGACATCAGTGACAAGGTGACAATGGTGACAACAGTGACAACAGTGACAACTGTGAGAACGGTGACAACAGTGACAACAGTGACAACAGTGACAACAGTGACAACAGTGACAACGGTGACAACAGTGACAACAGTGACAACGGTGACAACTGTGACAATTGTGACAACACTGACAACAGTAACAACGGTGGCAACAGTAACAATAGTGACAACGGTGACAACGGTGACAGCAGTGACAACGGTGACAACAGTGACAACTGTGACAACAATGACAACTGTCAACACAGTGACAACGGTGACAACAGTGACAAAAGTGACAACGGTGACATCAGTGACAACAGTAAAAACGCTGAAATCAGTTACAACAGTGACAACCGTGACAACGGTAACAACAGCGACAACGGTCACAACAGTGACAACAGTGAAAACAGTGACAACGGTGACAACCATGACAACAGTGACAACGGTGACAACAGTGACAACAGCCACAACGGTGACAACGGTGACAGCGGTGACAATGGTGACAGCAGTGACAACAGTGACAACGTTGACAACGGTGACGACAGTGACAACAGTGACAGCAGTGACAATGGTGACAACTGTGACAACAGTGACAGCAGTGACAATGGTGACAACGGTGACAACAGTGACAACGGTGACAACAGTGACAACGGTGACAACAGTGACAACAGTGTTAACGGTGACAACGGTGACAACAGTGAACACAGTGACAACAGTGACAGCGGTGACATTGGTGACAGCAGTGACCACAGTGACAACAGTGACAACGGTGACAACAGTGAAAACAGTGACAACGGTGACAACTGTGACAACAGTGACAGCAGTGACAACGGTGACAAAGGTGACAACTGTGACAACAGTGACAGCAGTGACAGCAGTGACAACAGTGACAACGGTGACAGCAGTGACAACGGTGACAACTGTGACAACAGTGACAACAGTGACAATAGTGACAACAGTGACAACAGTGACAATGGTGAGAACAGTGACAACGGTGATAACAGTGAAAACAGTGTTAACGGTGACAACGCTGACAAAACTGAACACAGTGACAACAGTGACAGCGGTGACAATGGTGACAGCAGTGACAACAGTGACAACAGTGACAACGGTGACAACGGTGACAACGGTGACAACAGTGACAACAGTGACAACGGTGACAACTGTGACAACAGTGACAGCAGTGACAACGGTGACAACAGTGACAACAGTGACAACAGTGACAACAGTGACAATGGTGACAACAGTGACAACAGTGACAACAGTGACAACGGTGACAACAGTGACAACAGTGACAACGGTGACAACAGTGACAACAGTGACAACAAGTGACAACGGTGACAACAGTGACAACAGTGACAAGAGTGACAACGGTGACAACAGTGACAACGGTGACAACGGTGACAACAGTGACAACAGTGCAACAACAGTGAAAACAGTGACAACAGTGACAACGGTGACAACAGTGACAACAGTGACAACAGTGACAACGGTGACAACAGTGACAACAGTGACAACAGTGACAACAGTGACAACAGTGACAACGGTGACAACAGTGACAACAGTGACAACAGTGACAACGGTGACAACAGTGACAACAGTGACAAAAGTGACAACGGTGACAACAGTGACAACAGTGACAACGGTGACAACAGTGACAACAGTGACAACGGTGACAACAGTGACAACAGTGACAACAGTGACAACAGTGACAACGGTGACAACTGTGACAACAGTGACAACAGTGACAACGGTGACAACAGTGACAACGGTGACAACAGTGACAACAGTGACAACGGTGACAACAGTGACAACAGTGACAACAATGACAACAGTGACAACAGTGACAACAGTGACAACAGTGAAAACAGTGACAACGGTGACAACAGTGACAACAGTGACAACATTGACAGTGGCAACGGTGACAACAATGACAACAGTGACAACAGTGACAACGGTGACAACGGTGACAACAGTGACAACAGTAAGAACAGTGACAACAGTGACAACGGTGACAACTCTTACAACAGTGACAACAGTGACAACAGTAACAACGGTGACAACAGTTACAACAGTGATACCAGTGACAACTGTGACAACGGTGACAACTGTGACAACACTGACAACAGTGACAACAGTGACACAATGACAACAGTGACAACAGTGACAACGGTGACGACAATGACAACGGTGACAACAGTGACAACATTAACAACGGTGACAACGGTGACAACGGTGACAACAGTGCAAACAGTGACAACGGTGACAACAGTGACAACAGTGACAACGGTGACAACAGTGACAACTGTGACAACAGTGACAACAGTGACAACGGTGACAACAGTGACAACAGTGAAACGGTGACAATGGTGAAAACAGTGACAACGGTGACAACAGTGACAAGAGTGACAACGCTGACAACAGTGAAAACAGTGACAACGGGGACAACTGTGACAACAGTGACAGCAGTGACAACGGTGAAAACAGTGACAATGGTGACAACAGTGACACACAGTGACAACGGTGACAACGGTGAAAACAGTGAAAGCAGTGAAAACGGTGATAACGGTGACAACTGTGACAACAGTGACAGCAGTGACAACAGTGACAGTGGTGACAATAGTGACAGCAGTGAGAACAGTGAAAACAGTGACAACGGTGACAACAGTGACAACAGTTAGAACGGTGACAACGCTGACAACAGTGACAAGAGTGACAGCAGTGACAACGGTGACAACAGTGACAATGGTGACAACAGTGACAACAGTGACAACAGTGACAACGGTGACAACAGTGACAACCAGTGACAACAGTGACAACAGTGACAACAGTGACAACTGTGACAAGAGTGACAGCAGTGACAACGGTGACAACGGTGACAACTGTGACAACAGTGACAGCAGTGACAACGGTGACAACAGTGACAACGGTGACAACAGTGACAACAGTGACAACAGTGACAACGGTGACAACAGTGACAACAGTGACAACAGTGACAACAGTGACAACAGTGACAACAGTGACAACAGTGACAACGGTGACAACAGTGACAACGGTGACAACAGTGACAACAGTGACAACGGTGACAACAGTGACAACAGTGACAACGGTGACAACTGTGACAAGAGTGACAGCAGTGACAACGGTGACAACGGTGACAACTGTGACAACAGTGACAGCAGTGACAACAGTGACAACAGTGACAACGGTGACAACAGTGACAACAGTGACAACAGTGAAAACAGTGACAACGGTGACAACAGTGACAACAGTGACAACGGTGACAACGGTGACAACAGTGACAACGGTGACAACAGTGACAACAGTGACAACAGTGACAACGGTGACAACAGTGACAACAGTGACAACAGTGACAACGGTGACAACAGTGACAACGGTGACAACGGTGACAACGGTGACAACAGTGACAACAGTGACAACGGTGACAACAGTGACAATGGTGACAACAGTGACAACGGTGACAACAGTGACAACGGTGACAACGGTGACAACAGTGACAACAGTGACAACAGTGACAACGGTGACAACAGTGACAACAGTGACAACGGTGACAACAGTGACAACAGTGACAACAGTGACAACGGTGACAACGGTGACAACAGTGACAACAGTGACAACAGTGAAACAGTGACAACGGTGACAACGGTGACAACGGTGACAACAGTGACAACAGTGACAACAGTGACAACTGGTGACAACAGTGACAACAGTGACAACGGTGACAACGGTGACAACGGTGACAACAGTGACAACAGTGACAACGGTGACAACGGTGACAACAGTGACAACAGTGACAACAGTGACAACGGTGACAACAGTGACAACGGTGACAACAGTGACAACAGTGACAACAGTGACAACAGTGACAACAGTGACAACGGTGACAACGGTGACAACAGTGACAACAGTGACAACAGTGACAACAGTGACAACAGTGACAGCAGTGACAACGGTGACAACAGTGACAACGGTGACAACAGTGACAACAGTGACAACAGTGACAACGGTGACAACTGTGACAACAGTGACAACAGTGACAACGGTGACAACAGTGACAACAGTGACAATGGTGACAACAGTGACAACAGTGACAACGGTGACAACAGTGACAACGGTGACAATGGTGACAACAGTGACAACAGTGACAACAGTGACAACAGTGACAACAGTGACAACAGTGACAACAGTGACAACAGTGACAATGGTGACAACAGTGACAACGGTGACAACGGTGACAACGGTGACAACAGTGACAACGGTGACAACGGTGACAACAGTGACAACAGTGACAACGGTGACAACGGTGACAACAGTGACAACGGTGACAACAGTGACAACAGTGACAACGGTGACAACGGTGACAACAGTGACAACAGTGACAACAGTGACAACAGTGACAACAGTGACAACAGTGACAACAGTGACAACAGTGACAACGGTGACAACAGTGACAACAGTGACAACAGTGACAACGGTGACAACGGTGACAACAGTGACAACGGTGACAACAGTGACAACAGTGACAACGGTGACAACAGTGACAACAGTGACAACAGTGACAACAGTGACAACAGTGACAACGGTGACAACAGTGACAACAGTGACAACGGTGACAACGGTGACAACAGTGACAACAGTGACAACGGTGACAACAGTGACAACAGTGACAACGGTGACAACAGTGACAACAGTGACAACAGTGACAACAGTGACAACAGTGACAACAGTGACAACGGTGACAACGGTGACAACAGTGACAACGGTGACAACAGTGACAACAGTGACAACAGTGACAACGGTGACAACAGTGACAACAGTGACAACGGTGACAACAGTGACAACAGTGACAACGGTGACAACAACAACAACAGTGACAACGGTGACAACATTGACAACAGTGACAATAGTGACAACGGTGAGAACGGTGACAACAGCGACAACAGTGACAACAGTGACAACGGTGACAACAGTGACAACAGTGACAACAGTGACAACAGTGACAACAGTGACAACAGTGACAACAGTGACAACAGTGACAACGGTGACAACGGTGACAACAGTGACAACAGTGACAACAGTGACAACAGTGACAACAGTGACAACAGTGACAACAGTGACAACAGTGACAACGGTGACAACAGTGACAACAGTGACAACAGTGACAACAGTGACAACGGTGACAACAGTGACAACAGTGACAACAGTGACAACGGTGACAACAGTGACAACAGTGACAACAGTGACAACAGTGACAACAGTGACAACAGTGACAACAGTGACAACAGTGACAACAGTGACAACGGACAACGGTGACAACGGTGACAACGGTGACAAGAGTGACAACAGTGACAACAGTGACAACGGTGACAACAGTGACAACAGTGACAACAGTGACAGCAGTGACAACGGTGACAACAGTGACAACGGTGACAACAGTGACAACAGTGACAACAGTGACAACAGTGACAACAGTGACAACGGTGACAACAGTGACAACAGTGACAACAGTGACAACAGTGACAACGGTGACAACAGTGACAACAGTGACAACGGTGACAACAGTGACAACAGTGACAACGGTGACAACAGTGACAACAGTGACAACAGTGACAACAGTGACAACAGTGACAACAGTGACAACAGTGACAACGGTGACAACAGTGACAACGGTGACAACGGTGACAACAGTGACAACGGTGACAACAGTGACAACAGTGACAACAGTGACAACGGTGACAACAGTGACAACAGTGACAACAGTGACAACAGTGACAACGGTGACAACGGTGACAACAGTGACAACAGTGACAACGGTGACAACAGTGACAACAGTGACAACAGTGACAACGGTGACAACAGTGACAACAGTGACAACAGTGACAACAGTGACAACGGTGACAATGGTGACAACAGTGACAACAGTGACAACAGTGACAACGGTGACAACAGTGACAACAGTGACAACGGTGACAACAGTGACAACGGTGACAACAGTGACAACAGTGACAACAGTGACAACAGTGACAACAGTGACAACAGTGACAACAGCGACAACAGTGACAACAGCGACAACAGTGACAACAGCGACAACAGTAACAACAGTGACAACATTGACAATGGTGACAACAGCGACAACAGTGACAACAGTGACAACAGTGACAACGGTGACAACAGTGACAACAGTGACAACAGTGACAACAGTGACAACGGTGACAACAATGACAACACTGACAACAGTGACAACGGCGACAACTGTTACAACAGTGACAACAGTGACAACAGTTAAAGAAGTGACAACAATGACAACGGTAACAAGAGTGACAACAGTGAAAACGGTGACAACAGTGACAACAGTGACAACAGTGACAGCAGTGACAACTGTGACAATGGTGACAATAGTGACAAAGACAACAGTGACAAACAGTGACAAAGGTGACAACGGTGACAACAGACAACGGTGAAAACAGTGACAATGGTGACAACTGTGAAAAGAGTGACAGCAGTGACAACGGTGACAACAGTGACAATGGTGACAACAGTGACAACAGTGACAACAGTGACAACGGTGACAACGGTGACAACAGTGACAACAGTGACAACAGTGACAACAGTGACAACTGTGACAACTGTGAAAAGAGTGACAGCAGTGACAACGGTGACAACGGTGACAACTCTGACAACAGTGACAGCAGTGACAACGGTGACAACAGTGACAACGGTGACACACTGACAACAGTGACAGCAGTGAAATTGGTGAAATCGGTGACAACTGTGACAACAGTGACAGCAGTGACAACAGTGACAACTGTGACAGCGGTGACAATGGTGACAGCAGTGACAACAGTGAAAACATTGACAAAGGTTACAACGGTGACAACGGTGAAAACAGTGACAACGGTGACAACTGTGAAAAGAGTGACACCAGTGACAACGGTGACCACGGTGACAACTGTGACAATAGTGACAGCAGTGACAACGGTGCTAGCAGTGACAATGGTGACAGCAGTGACAATGGTGACAATGGTGACAACAGTGACAACAGTGACACAGTGACACAGTGACAGCGGTGACAATAGTGACAGCAGTGACAACAGTGAACACAGTGACAACAGTGACAACGGTGACAATAGTGAGATCAGTGACAACTGTGACAACTGTGAAAAGAGTGACAGCAGTGACAACGGTGACAACGGTGACAACTCTGACAACAGTGACAGCAGTGACAACGGTGACAACAGTGACAGCGCTAACAACGGTGACAGCAGTGACAACAGTGACAATAGTGACAACGGTGACAACAATGAAAACAGTGACAACGGTGACAACTGTGACAGCAGTGAAAACCGTGAAATTGGTGACCACTGTGACAACATGGACAACGGTGAAAACAGTGAGAGCAGTGAAAACGGTGACAACGGTGACAACTGTGACAACAGTGACAGCAGTGACAACAGTGACAGTGGTGACAATAGTGACAGCAGTGAGAACAGTGAAAACAGTGACAACGGTGACAGCAGTGACAACGGTGCTAGCAGTGACAATGGTGACAGCAGTGACAATGGTGACAATGGTGACAACAGTGACAACAGTGACACAGTGACACAGTGACAGCGGTGACAATGGTGACAGCAGTGACAACAGTGAACACAGTGACAACAGTGACAACGGTGACAATAGTGAGACAGTGACAACTGTGACAACAGTGACAACAGTGACAACGGTGACAACGGTGACAACAGTGACAACAGTGACAACGGTGACAACGGTGACAACAGTGACAACAGTGACAACAGTGACAGCGGTGACAACGGTGACAGCAGTGACAACAGTGACAACTGTGACAACGGTGACAACAGTGAAAACAGTGACAACGGTGACAACTGTGACAGCAGTGAAAACGGTGACAACGGTGACAACTGTGACAACAGTGACAACAGTGAAAACAGTGAGAGCAGTGAAAACAGTGACAACGGTGACAACAGTGACAACAGTGACAGCAGTGACAACAGTGACAGTGGTGACAATAGTGACAGCAGTGAGAACAGTGAAAACAGTGACAACGGTGACAACAGTGACAACAGTGAAAACGGTGACAACGCTGACAACAGTGGCAAGAGTGAAAAGCAGTGACAATGGTGACAACAGTGACAATGGTGACAACAGTGACAACAGTGACAACAGTGACAACAGTGACAACTGTGACAGCTGTGAAAAGAGTGACAGCAGTGACAACGGTGACAACGGTGACAACTCTGACAACAGTGACAGCAGTGACAACGGTGACAACAGTGACAACGGTGACACACTGACAACAGTGACAGCAGTGAAATTGGTGAAATCGGTGACAACTGTGACAACAGTGACAGCAGTGACAACAGTGACAACTGTGACAGCGGTGACAATGGTGACAGCAGTGACAACAGTGAAAACATTGACAAAGGTTACAACGGTGACAAAAGTGAAAACAGTGAAAACGGTGACAACTGTGACAAGAGTGACAGCAATGACAACGGTGACAACTGTTTCAACAGTGACACCAGTGACAACGGTGAAAACAGTGACAACAGTGACAACGGTCACTGCGGTGACAATGGTGACAGCACTGACAACAGTGAAAACAGTGATAATGGTGACAACGGTGACAACAGTGACAACGGTGACAACTGTGAGAACTGTGACAAGAGTGACAGCAGTGACAACCGTGACGACGGTGACAACTCTGACAACAGTGACAGCAGTGACAACGGTGACAACAGTGACAATGGTGACAACGGTGACAACAGTGACAGCGCTGACAACGGTGACAGCAGTGGCAACAGTAACAATAGTGACAACGGTGACAATGGTGACAACAATGAAAACAGTGACAACGGTGACAACTGTAACAGCAGTGAAAACTGGAAATTGGTGACCACTGTGACAACAGTGACAGCAGTGACAACACTGACAGCGGTGACAATGGTGACAGCAGTGACAACAGTGAAAACATTGACAACGGTGACAAAAGTGAAAACAGTGAAAACGGTGACAACTGTGACAAGAGTGACAGCAATGACAACGGTGACAACTGCGTCAACAGTGACACCAGTGACAACGGTGAAAACAGTGACAACAGTGACAACGGTCACTGCGGTGACAATGGTGACAGCAGTGACAACAGTGAAAACAGTGATAATGGTGACAACGGTGACAACGGTGACAACGGTGACAACTGTGACAACTGTGACAACAGTGACAGCAGTGACAACGGTGAAAACAGTGACAACGGTGACAATAGTGACAACAATGACAGCGGTGACAACGGTGACACCAGTGACAACGGTGACAACAGCGAAAACAGTGAGAACAGTGAGATCCGTGACAACGGTGACAACAGTGAAAACAGTGACAACGGTGACAACTGTGACAAGAGTGACAACGGTGACAACGGTGACAACTGTGACAACAGTGACAGCAGTGAACACGGTGACAACAGTGACAACAGTGACAGCGGTGACAATGGTGACAGCAGTGACAACTGTGAAAACAATGACAAAGGTGACAACGGTGACAATGGTGACAGCAGTGACAACTGTGAAAACAATGACAACGGTGACAACGGTGACAACAGTGACAACAGTGACAACTGTGACAACAGTGACAGCAGTAAAAATGGTGACAACGGTGACAACTGTCACAACCGTGACAGCAGTGACAACGGTGACAACAGTGACAACGGTGAACACAGGGTCAACGGTGACAACAGCGAAAACAGTGACAACAGTGAGAGTGGTGACAACGGTGACAGCAGTGAAGACAGTGAGAACAGTGACAACGGTGACAACGGTGACAACAGGGACAACGATGACAACTGTGACAACAGTGACAGCAGTGACAACAGTGACAACGGTGACAACTGGGACAACAGTGACAGCAGTGACAACGGTGACAACAGTGACAAAAGTGACAACAGTGACAACGGTGACAACCGTGACAACAGTGAAAACAGTAACAACAGTGACAGTGCTGACAACAGTGACAATAGTGACAATGGTGACAAAAGTGACAAAGCTCACAACAGTGACAGCAGTGACAACAGTGACAGCGGTGACAATGGTGACAGCAGTGACAGAAGTGGAAACAGTGACAACGGTGACAACAGTGAAAACCGTGACGACGGTGAAAACAGTGACAACGGTGACAACAGTGACAACAGTGACAATGGTGACAACAGTAAAAACAGTGACAACGGTGACAACTGTGACAATAGTGATAGCAGTGACACAGTGACAACGGTGACAACAGTGACAGCAGTGACAACGGTGACAACAGTGACAATGGTGACAACAGTGACAACAGTGACAACAGTGACAACAGTGACAACGGTGACAACTGTGAAAACAGTGACAGCAGTGACAACGGTGACAACAGTGACAATGGTGACAACAGTGACAACAGTGACAACAGTGACAACGGTGACAACTGTGACAGCAGTGAAAACGGTGAAATCGGTGACAAATGTGACAACAGTGACAGTGGTGACAATGGTGACAGCAGTGACAACAGTTAAACCAGTGACAATGGTGACAACGGTGACAACAGTGACAAGAGTGACAACGGTGACAACGGTGACAACTGTGACAACAGTGACAGCAGTGACAACGGTGAGAACAGTGACAACTGTGACAACAGTGACAACAGTGACAGCGGTGAGAACGGTGACCGCAGTGACAACAGGGACAACAGTGACAACTTTGACAACAGTGACAGCAGTGAAAACGGTGACAACGTGACAACTGTGACAACAGTGACAGCAGTGACAACAGTGAAAACGGTGACAACAGTGACAACAGTGACAACAGGGACAACGGTGACAACAGCGAAAACAGTGACAACAGTGAGAGCAGTGACAACGGTGACAGCAGTGAAGACAGTGACAGCAGTGACAACGGTGACAACAGTGACAACAGTGAGAACGGTGACAACTGTGACAACAGTGACAGCAGTGACAATGGTGACAACCGTGACAACAGTGACAACAGTGACAACGGTGACAACTGTGACAACAGTGAAAAAAGGAACAACAGTGACAACAGTGACAGTACTGACAACAGTGACAACGCTGACAACAGGGACAACAGGGACAACTGTGACAATGCTGACAACCGTGACAACAGTGAGAACAGTGAAAACAATGACAATGGTGACAACGGTGACAACAGTGGCAAGAGTGACAACGCTGAAATCAGTGACAACAGTGACAACCGTGACAACGGTCACAATAGTGACAACAGTGAAAAAGGGGACAACAACAACAACTGTGACAACGGCAAAAACAGGGACAACAGTGACAACAGTGAGAACAGTGAAAACAGTGACAATGGTGACAACGGTGACAACAGTGACAAGGGTGACAACGCTGAAATCAGTGACAACAGTGAATACCGTCACAACAGTGACAACAGTGAAAACGGCGACAAGGGTAACAACAATGACAACTGTGACAACGGTGACAACAGTGACAACGGTGACAACAGTGACAACAGTCAACACGGTGACAACGGTGACAACGGTGACAACAGTGACAACAGTAACAACGATGACAACGGTGACAACGGTGACAGCAGTGAGAACAGTGAAAACAGTGACAATGGGACAACGGTGACAACAGTGACAAGGGTGACAACGCTGAAATAAGTGACAACGGTGACAACGGTTACAACTCTTAAAACAGTGACAACAGTGACAACGGTGACAACAGTGACAATGGTGACAACAGTGACAACAGTGACAACAGTGACAACGGTGACAACGGTGACAACTGTGACAACGATGAAAATGGTGACAACGGTGACAACGGTGGCAACAGTGACAATGGTGACAGCGGTGACATCGGTGATCATGACAACAGTGACAACGGTGACGACTGTGACAATAGTGACAACGGGGACAACTCTTACAAGAGTGACAACAGTCACAACAGTGACAACGGTGACAAAGGTGATAACAGTGACAACGGTGACAACAGTGACAACGGTGACAACAGTGACAAGTGTGACAACGGGAAAAACGGTTAAAATGGTCACAACAGTGACAACAGTGATAACGGTGACAACCATGACAACTGTGACAATGGTGACAACAGTGAAAAAAGTGACAACTGTGACAACGGTGATAACAATGAACACAGTGACAACTGTGACAACGGTGACAACAGTGACAACAGTGACAACAGTCAACACAGTGACAACGGTGACAACAGTGACAACAGTGACAACGGTGACAACAGTGACAACAGTGACAAGGGTGACAACGCTGAAATCAGTGACAACAGTGACAACCGTGACAACGGTCACAACAGTGACAACAGTGAAAACGGTGACAACGGTGACAACCATGACAACTGTGACAACGGTGACAAAAGTGACAACAGTGACAACTGTGACAACGGTGACAACAGTGACAAGAGTTAACACAGTGAGAATGGTGACAACAGTAACAACCGTGAGAACAGTGACAACAGTTACAACGGTGACTACAGTGACAACAGTGACAACGGTGACAACTCTTACAACAGTGACAACAGTGACAACGGTTACAACAGTGACAACGGTGACAACGTTTACAACAGGGAGAAGAGCAAAAAGGGGACAACGGTGACAACAGCGACAACGGTGATAGCGGTGACAACAGTGACAACAGCAACAACGGTGATAACGGTGACAATGGCGACAACAGCGACAACGGCAACAACGGTGACAACAGTGACAACAGTGACAACAGCGAAGACGGTGACAATGTTGAGAACAGTGAGAACCGTGTCAATAGCGGCAAAAGTGACAACGGTGACTGGTAACAAGAGTGAAAGCAGTGACAACAGTGACAACAGTGACAACAGTGACAACGGTGACAACAGTGACAGCAGTGACAACGGTGACAACGATGACAAGAGTGACAACAGTGACAACAGTGACAACAGTGACAACGGTGACAACAGTGACAACGGTGACAACTGTGACAACACTGACAACAGTGACAACGGTGACAACGGTGACAACTGTGACAACAGTGACAGCAGTGACAATGGTGACAACAGTCACCATGGTGACAACGGTGACAGCAGTGACAACGGTGACAACAGTGACAACGGTGACAACAGTGACAACAGTGACAACGATGACAACTGTGACAACACTGACAACAGTGACAACGGTGCAAACAGTAACAATAGTGACAACGGTAACAGCAGTGACAACAGTGGCAACGGTGAAACAGTGCAAACAGTGACAACGGTGACAACTGTGACAACGGTGACAACAGTGACAACAGTGACAACTGTGACAACGGTGACAACGGTGACAACGGTGACAACAGTGACAACATGTGACAACGGTGACAACAGTGACAACAGTGACAACTGTGACAACGGTGACAACGGTGACAACAGTGACAACAGTGACAACGGTGACAACAGTGACAACAGTGACAACGGTGATAATGGTGAATACAGTGAAAACAGTGACAACGGTGACAAAGGGACAACAGAGACCAAAGCAGGACAACAAGGACAGTAGTGACAACAGTGACAACAGCGACAACGGCGCCAACATTGACAAGATTGACAACAGCAACAGTGACAACAGTGACAACAGCGACAACAGTGACAACAACGACAACAGCGACAACAGTGACAAAAGCAACAACTGTGAGAACAGTGACAAAAGTGACAACAAGGAGAACAGTGACAACAGCCACAGCAGCGACAACAGTGAAAACAAAGAGGACAAGGACAATATGAGGGACAACAGAGCAACTTGAAAAACAGGGACAACAAGGACAGCAAGGACAACAAGGACAACATCAGGAGCATCAGCGACCACATTGAGAACAAGGACAACAAGAATAAGATGGACAACAAGGACTACATCAGGGACTACAAGAACAACAATGACAACGTGGACAGCAGGGACAAGAAGAACAATAAAGACAATAAGGACAACAGGGACAACAAGGACAACAGTGACAACAAGGGCAACAGGGTTAACAACGACCACATCAGGGACAACAGGGACAACAGAGACAACATGGACAACAGGGACAACAGGAACAACAAGGACAACAGGGTTAACAAGGACAACATCAGGGACAAAGGGGACAACATAGGGAGAACATGGACAACAGGGTCAACAAGGACAAAATGGACAACAGGGACAACAGGAACAACAAGGACAACATCAGGGACAAAGGGGACAAGGACAACATAGGGAGAACAGGGACAACATGGACAACAGGGTCGACAACGACAACATGGACAACAGGGACAACAGGAACAACAAGGACAACAGGGTTAACAAGGACAACATCAGGGACAAAGGGGACAAGGACAACATAAGGAGAACAGGGTCAACAAGGACAACATGGACAACAGGGACAACAGGAACAACAAGGACAACACGGTTAACAAGGACAACATCAGGGACAAAGGGGACAACAAGGACAACAGGGTCGACAAGGACAACATGGACAACAGGGACAATAGGGACAACAGGGACAACAAGGACAACAGGGTCAACAAGGACAACATGGACAACAGGGACAATAAGGACAACATGGAACAACAAGGACAACAGGGACAACAAGGACAACAAGGACAACAGGGACAACAACAGTGACAACTAGGACAACAAGGACAACATCAGGGACAATAGCGGAAAAAGGGACAACAGGGATATCAGGAGCAACATTTCAATTCAATTCAATTCAGGACAACAATTGCGTTGTACAATAAATTATTGGAAGTCAGGATTTTGGCTTTTTCAAACATTGGTATTTAGGATTTTTGCGTTTTTTAAACATTGGACTTTTTCAAACATGATAATTCTGGATTTTACCTTTTTCGAAACATTGGAGTTCCAAATTTTTGCTTTTTCAAACACTGGATTTCAGGATTTTTCGCTTTTCTATATACCCTAGCGAAATAATGTTTGGAATTCCTAGGAATTCCTAGGATAATTAGAATTTAGGACTGTGGCTTTTTGCGAACAAAAGAATTCAGCATTTTTGCTTTTTCAAACATTGGAATTCACGATTATGGCTTTTCCAAACATTGGAGTTATGGATTTTGGGTTTTCGAAACATCACAATTCTGTAATTTAGGCTTTTTGCATTTTGACTTTATAAAACATTGGAATTCACGATTTTTTTATTTTCTAAACATACAATTTCAGTATTTTGACTCTTTCAAACATTTGGAGTACTGGATTTTTTCCTTCCATACACTGGAATTCAGTTCCTGTTTTGGCTTTTCCAAATATTGGAATTCAGGATTGTGGCTTTCTTTAAACATTGGAATTCTGGATTTTGGCTTTTTCCAAACACTGGAATTGAAGATTTTTGTTTTCAGATCATTAGAATTCTCCATTTTGGCTGTCCCAGACATTGGAATTTTCGATTTTCACTTTTTCAATCATAATTTTCATTCCAGTGTTTTGGCTTGTCCAAATATTGGAATTATGGATTTTGGATTTTGGAAACAGTGGAACCCAGGACTGTGGCTTTTCCAAACATTAAAATTTTTTAGAGTAATTTTAAAAAGATTAACTAAATACCACTAAGAGTCCTCAAGATAATTTGATAGTTAATGAAAATATTATCATGGTATCTAAACATTTTATGGAAACCGGGATAGGAGGAAGGTCTTGACCAAGAGTTTTGGAAATAAGGGCAGAAGGTGGGAGTCAAAACATCCAAGTTCCTTCAGTTAAGAGGTGCTAATTTTTTCTGGAATAACCAATTTCAATATGTTCTGGGGAGCAAGCGCCTAGACCCTGGAGAGAAAGGGGGCAATTCCACAATCTGAATCTTTTTATGGAAAATGTTATTGCAACCCTTGATAGTCAAGGTAAAATAATTATTGTCTACCTGATATTTGACTGGATGCAGACATCAAGTAACAGAAGCCATCATTTCTAAGAAGATGCTTTTCAAGGCCTGGTATAGGGGACACCTGAATTGAGATAACATAAACAAAGTTGAAGAAAGCTTATAAAATTGATAGCAATGACAAACAACAGCGAGAATTTAAAAAAACTAATTGTTTTTGTAGGCAAGTAGGCGAAAAAGCAGTATCTCATCTTTATCAACAGCATTGCATGTGCAATTACTAGTACATTTCCTTGACACCTGCTGCACGAGTCTGATAAGATATCTGCTGGCACAAGGCAGTATGGAGGACATGAACACATGACAACAATTTTTTTTCATTTTGAACTTGGATAGATGGCATAAAAATTCAACTCCAGCAAAATTTGCATACAGTCGAAAAATGGAGTGAGACCAAAATTAAAGAAATGTTATCTAGAGCTTTTAAGACTGCAAATTAATTTTTTAAGGGATACTTTCAATGCTGTTGTTGTTGGACCCAAATAATAAGAGGCATATTAAGGTCCAATGATGAGAGCTTGATGATCAGTGCATAGTTGGGCAGTAATGTCCAATAGTCTTTGGCCTTTAATTGACAGTGTCCTTCAACCTTTCTAATAGATTGAAAAGGGATGTGTGTGGCAGGGAGTTCATTAGGCATCAGATATAATTCTCTAGCAAATGTTTGATAGCCTATGACTATATTATATTCAGACGTGGAGCCTCTTTCAAAATATTCTCTTGTAACATTACACCTTTCTCCTGCTACTATATAGAATTCTTAATGAAAACCCTGGTGTGGTCTCTTATCTTTCACAGGGGGAGTTAACACTTTATTACAGGTCAACAGTGTACAGATTAGTTGCACTGCCAACAGTTGGAAAATCAAACAAAATAAATCCCAATCAATCTACCTCATTCTCACTTAATTTTGTGAGTTTTATGTTTTGCAAAAAATCGTGAGACAAATTATTTCTTGAGTATTTAATTTTCAAGATTTTTAGGGAAAGGTAGTTTTGGAAGTATATAAAATGTCAAGATTTTTCTATTCTTTAATATATAAAGGTAACTTTGACCTCAGAACAGAAACAACAGAATTAATAGTTTCAATGTTTAACAGCAAAAAGAGACAATTACAAACAAAACAAGCTAAAATATAACAAAGCATAAGGCTTTAAAAACTCCTAATCTTGAAACTGAGACATGTTGGAATTACTGATAATGCAACAGTTTGAATTTTGTTATTTTATAGATAAGAATATGTCTGGTATTAAATTTCACAATTTTAATCTTTGTGAGTACTAGATATTGCAAGTATTAAATTTCACAATGTTTCCCAAAATCGCGAAATTGAATGAGAATGCAGTACTGACCTTAAATTCCTGAAGGTCAACATAATCCTTTGGAAAACAATGTGATGTATTACTTTTTCTTGTGTGTCTTCTAACACACCACAGGCTGCCCAAGCTACTTGGTAGGGACTGTATCTCTGTACTGTCTTTCAAAAACACAACTTTGTATCCAAGTACATTTAATGCATCCGTCAAAGTTTTGACGTACTCCTCTTGAGAAGAGTTAAATAAATTGGCAAGAAAGATCTCTGGACTGGTCTGGTACTTCTTTTCAAGCTGATGAAAAATGAAGTCGCCTTAATTTTAATACGCCTGTATCGAGGTAGGGGGGAGTGCCAGGTACTCCCTATGATGGCCTGTACAGGGAGGTTCTGCCCAAAAGGGGTATCTTTTTCAGGCTTTAGGTATGTGAAAGGGTAGGGATTTCACTAGTTGAGGATAGATAAAAGGGGAGGGAAATCTGTCATTTGGGTCTGTGAAAGGACCCAAAAGGGCTAACAGATGAATTTTATGGCTTTATAAGGTTGAGAAAACATTCTATTTTTGTGACTAAATCCTATTTAAAAGAGAGTGCATTTACAGCAGTTAACAGGGATGCAAGGTTCTAAACAATTAAGGTATGTGAAAGGGGTACCATTTGTCAATAGAAGGTACACGAAAGGATAACCTTTTTCGTGGAAAATGGTATATAAAAGGGTAAGGGGTTGGACCTTGGGGCAGAGCCTTCCCGTATAAACATTTGTTGAGTACCCCCCCTGGGGCCTGTATGTACAGTGTCGTTGTAAAAAATACAATTAATTAAAAATAAAAAAAAGTGTCTCCAAAGGGGAGCCACATTTCACACCCTAAGAAATTTGCCCTTTAGTTGTCTCCCCTGCAAGATACTCAAAGATAAGATACAATCAAAGCCCTTACATATTAGAGGACCACCAAGCTATTGGTCGGAACTACACGTGTAGAACTGGTTGTTTAAGAGAATGGGCCCTTGCATGATAACCACCCTATAAATGTATTAACCCTTTAAGTGCCAATAGTGACCAAAAACAATTTTCTCCTAACAATATCCATACATTGTCAAGAGATAAAGATATGAGAATTAATAAAATGATCACCAAAGGGAAAATGCCATGATCTTTTATCAAATTCTCTCAAGTAATTCTTAAGAAAATCTATGGGGATCAGTTTGGAGAATTTGTATGTGGATATTGGGGCTTAAAGGGTTGAGGGCAGTCAGTTACAAGAGCTTTTAGTAAAAAAACTTGGCACACGTGATTGTAGTTACATGTACTACTGGCTGTAACTAAAGCTGGTCACTTAACGAGAGTGGTCTCAAGATGAGTATTGACTACATGTTCATGTACACGATTTTAAAAAATTTTATATACTGCATGCTCAAAACCCTGACCAGCTGTCATAAAATCAAACAAATTTGATTTAATCCTTATTTATCTATTTTAAAAAATTCCTGATAAATTATATGAATGTTCACAAAACAAGAAAATGTGTTATCCAAGAATAACAGGTTAAAAATATTATAGATGTTTGATAAATTAAACTTTCTTTTGCGTCTCTCAAATTGACATCACTTTAAAGTTAAAAGCAAAGGACAAGACGAATTAATGGCTTGAAATTTTTTTTGACAAAATATAATTGACATGATAAAGCGTGTGAATAAAAAACATTTCGCCTTACCATGAATTTCCCATTCACAGAGCTCTACGTGTATTTTGAAAACAAAAAAGCATTAAAAAGGTTTATGTTTAAAATAACATGAAACAAACCAGGGATAAAAAGACTATTAATTTAATTTAAAAATTTACATTCCACTGAAAGATGATTTTTTCTCAGGAAGAAAAGACAGTGATCTATAATTAACAATCTCATCAAACTTTGATTACAATTTTTTACTTCAAATTGACAAACTTTAAAAAACACGACATATTATCTTACCAATCACAATATAATTTTAAACACCTAAATTTTTCAAGAGTTTATTTGCACAAATCTTTTCACTTAAACTTCTAATTTTCTTTTATTCTTAGGATGCTCTTCACTAAGAAAAAGAAAGTAAGTACACTCCACAAGAAGCGGAGCCATCATTAAATACACCAGAGTGAAATTCTCGACCAGGCTGTTAGTGAGCAATTTCGAGTAAATCTTGAACAGCACTTAACACTTAAAATGAATGGCATATCGTAATGACGCAGTAGTGGTTTTATAAAAAATTCATTAATTTTTCTACCATCCTGGCGATCCCCAACTCACGTGTATCATGAAACGAGAGTATACAAATAGTTTACGAGGCAATATTTAATTTTAAATCTTTGTATACAAAAACAGCATTTACCTCTCGTAGCCTTTGAAGCAATTTTCCATCTTCATGAAAAATCTCAAGAGCTATATTTGACCTTCTTGTAACAAAATAAGGCGAATTATTGGGCCGGAGAGAAATCTCCCTTTCGGTTGCTGCAGACACCTCATTTTTAGAAATACGCCCTTGTACTTGGAAAATAACGTCTTCATCAGAGTATCGAATCTTGTTTCTTAAGGACTCGTAGCCTTCCTTTGGAATTGTAGTATCATCCTGTAGTAGTCGACTTCCTATCCAGTAAGTCCAAAATATGGACAGTAACGTGATTACCGCCAAAAACAACAAGACTTGTTTTCTCGAGCAAATCTGCAGTAATCTCATTATTCGTTAACCTTTGTTCATATAATCCTTGAGTTTTAGCAGTTGAGTCGCCATCTCTTACACAACGTTCATACTTTTTCCAGCTAAAAACCCCCATTCGTCGAAAGATGATCACTTCACACGAACTGGGACGCAGTCATTTCATCAGAGCCTTGCTTTCTCTTGAGGCCGGCAACGTTTTCTGGAATCTCGAGATTTCTGTTGTCAACCAGAGACAGCTGCTTCAGTTTTGAGGTTTCTGGAGCTATATTTCGATGTTTGTATCTATTATCAAAGATCTCGCTGACCACTCATCTCCTAAACCTGGAGAATGCGTCGGAGAAATCGGTACCTACTTCATATATGGGGATATATTGTACCGACGTTACCTTTTCCACTAGAATCCGTTTTCTCATTGTTGATTGCTTACTGTTTCCATCTTTTTAGACCTTACTCTCATTACTACGCTTTGTTACTTACTATTATTACTTTGTTACCTTGTTACCTTCTTACTCTGTTTCCTGTTACCTTGTTACCGTGTTACCCTGTTATCCTGTTACCTCATTACCCTGATACCTTCCCCGCCCAGTGTTACCCTGTTACCTTGTTTTTTATACTCTGTTACCCTGTTACCCAGTTAACTTGTTACCCTCTTACCTCGTTACCCTGTATCTTTGTTACTCTGTTACCGTGCTACCTTGTTACCGTGTTCCCCTATAACCCTGTTACCCTGTCACACTGATACCCTGTTACCCTGTTAACCTTGTTACCCTGTTACCTTGATACTCTGTTACCCTGTTACCCTGTTACCTTGTTACTCTGTTAACTTGTTACCCTCTTAACTTGTTACCCTCTATCTTTGTTAAACTGTTAACCTAGCCTGTTACCCTGTTACCTTGTTACGCTGTTACCATGTTACCCTGTTACCCTGTTTTCTTACTACCCTGTTACCCTGTTACCCTGTTATCCGGTTACCTTATTACCCTGCTACCCTGTTACATTGTTACCCTGTTACCCTGTTACCTTGATACCCTGTTACCCTGTTACCCTGATACGCCGTTACCTTATTACCCTGTTAACCTCTTACCCTGTTACCTTGTTCCCTTGTTCCCCTGTTATCCTGTTACCCTTGTTAATTACCCTGTTACCCTGTTGCCATGTTACCCTTGTTACCCCTTGTTACCCTTGTTACCCCTTGTTAACCCTTGTTACCCCTGTTACCCCTTGTTACCCCTAACTCCCCTTGTTACCACTTGTTGCCCCTTGTTACCACTTGTTGCCCCTTGTTACCCGTGTTACCCCCTGTTACCCCTGTTACCCCTTTTTGCCTTGTTACCCTGTGTTACCCCTGTTACCCCTGTTACCCCTTGTTACCCCTTGTTACCCTTGTTACCCCTGTTACCCCTTGTTACCCTTGTTACCCTTGTTACCCCTTGTTTACCCCTTGTTACCCTTGTTACCCCTGTTACCCCTTGTTACCCTTGTTACCCTTGTTACCCCTTGTTACCCCTTGTTACCCTTGTTACCCCTGTTACCCCTTGTTACCCTTGTTACCCCTTGTTACCCCTGTTACCCCTTGTTACCCTTGTTACCCCTGTTACCCCTTGTTACCCCTTGTTACCCCTGTTACCCCTTGTTACCCTTTCTGTTACCCCTGTTACCCCTTGTTACCCCTTTTTACCCTTGTTACCCCTTGTTACCCCTTTTACCCCTTGTTACCCCTGTTACCCCTTGTTACCCCTGTTACCCCTGTTACCCCTTGTTACCCCTGTTACCCCTTGTTACCCCTTGTTACCCTTGTTACCCTTGTTACCTTTTTACCCTTGTTACCCCTGTTACCCCTTTTTACCCCTGTTACCCCTTGTTACCCCTTGTTACCCCTTGTTACCCCTTGTTACCCCTTTTTACCCTTGTTACCCTGTTACCCTTGTTACCCCTTGTTGTTACCCTTTGTTACCCTTGTTACCCTTGTTACCCTTGTTACCCCTTGTTACCCTTGTTACCCTGTTACCCCCTGTTACCCTTGTTACCCCTTGTTACCCCTTGTTACCCCTTGTTACCCCTTGTTTCCCCTTGTTACCCTTGTTACCCTTGTTACCCCTTGTTACCCCTTGTTACCCTTGTTACCCCTTGTTACCCTTGTTACCCCTTGTTACCCCTTGTTACCCTTGTTACCCCTTGTTACCCCTTGTTACCCCTTTTTACCCTTGTTACCCTTGTTACCCCTTGTTACCCTTTGTTACCCCTTGTTACCCCTTGTTACCCCTTGTTACCCCTTTACCCCTTGTTACCCCCTTGTTACCCTTGTTACCCCTTGTTACCCTTGTTACCCCTTGTTACCCCTTGTTACCCCTTGTTACCCTTGTTACCCCTTGTTACCCCTTGTTACCCCTTGTTACCCTTGTTACCCTTGTTACCCCTTGTTACCCCTTGTTACCCCTTGTTACCCCTTGTTACCCTTGTTACCCTTGTTACCCCTTGTTACCCTTGTTACCCCTTGTTACCCCTTGTTACCCTTGTTACCCTTTTACCCTTGTTACCCTTGTTACCCCTTGTTACCCTTGTTACCCTTTGTTACCCCTTGTTACCCTTGTTACCCTTGTTACCCTTGTTACCCTTGTTACCCCTTGTTACCCCTTGTTACCCTTGTTACCCCTTGTTACCCTTGTTACCCTTGTTACCCTTTGTTACCCCTTGTTACCCCTTGTTACCCTTTTTTACCCTTTTTACCCTTGTTACCCCTTGTTACCCTTGTTACCCCTTGTTACCCTTGTTACCCCTTGTTACCCTTGTTACCCCTTGTTACCCCTTGTTACCCTTGTTACCCTTTGTTACCCTTGTTACCCTTGTTACCCTTGTTACCCCTTGTTACCCCTTGTTACCCCTGTTACCCTTGTTACCCTTGTTACCCCTTGTTACCCCTTGTTACCCTTGTTACCCCTTGTTACCCTTGTTACCCCTTGTTACCCCTTGTTACCCTTGTTACCCCTTGTTACCCCTTGTTACCCTTGTTACCCTTGTTACCTTTGTTACCCCTTGTTACCCTTGTTACCCTTTGTTACCCCTTGTTACCCTTGTTACCCTTGTTACCCCTTGTTACCCTTTTACCCCTTGTTACCCCTTGTTACCCTTGTTACCCCTTGTTACCCCTTGTTACCCTTGTTACCCCTTGTTACCCTTTTTACCCCTTTTTACCCCTTGTTACCCTTGTTACCCCTTGTTACCCCTTGTTACCCTTGTTACCCTTGTTACCCTTGTTACCCCTTGTTACCCCTTGTTACCCCTTGTTACCCCTTGTTACCCTTGTTACCCCTTGTTACCCTTGTTACCCCTTGTTACCCCTTGTTACCCCTGTTACCCTTGTTGTTACCCTTGTTACCCCTTGTTACCCTTGTTACCCCTTGTTACCCTTGTTACCCTTGTTACCCCTTGTTACCCCTTGTTACCCTTGTTACCCTTGTTACCCCTTGTTACCCTTGTTACCCCTTGTTACCCTTGTTACCCTTGTTACCCTTGTTACCCTTGTTACCCCTGTTACCTCTGTTACCCCTGTTACCCCTTGTTACCCCTTGTTACCCCTGTTACCCCTGTTACCCCTTGTTATCCCTGTTACCCCTGTTACCCCTTGTTACCCCTTGTTACCCCTGTTACCCCTTTTTACCCCTGTTACCCCTTGTTACCCCTTGTTACCCCTTGTTACCCTTTGTTACCCCTTGTTACCCCTGTTACCCCTTTGTTACCCCTTGTTACCCTTGTTACCCCTTGTTACCCTTGTTACCCCTTGTTACCCTTGTTACCCTTGTTACCCCTTGTTACCCCTGTTACCCCTTGTTACCCTTGTTACCCCTTGTTACCCTTGTTACCCTTTTTACCCCTTGTTACCCTTGTTACCCTTTTTACCCTTGTTACCCTTGTTACCCCTTGTTACCCTTGTTACCCCTTGTTACCCCTTGTTACCCCTTGTTACCCTTGTTACCCTTGTTACCCCTTGTTACCCCTTGTTACCCTTTTTACCCCTTGTTACCCCTTGTTACCCTTGTTACCCCTTGTTACCTTTGTTACCCTTGTTACCCTTGTTACCCCTTGTTACCCTTGTTACCCTTGTTACCCTTGTTACCTTGTTACCCCTTGTTACCCCTTGTTACCCTTGTTACCCCTTGTTACCCCTTGTTACCCCTTGTTACCCTTGTTACCCCTTGTTACCCCTTGTTACCCTTTTTACCCTTGTTACCCCTTGTTACCCTTGTTACCCTTGTTACCCTTGTTACCCCTTGTTACCCTTGTTACCCTTTACCCTTTGTTACCCTTGTTACCCCTTGTTACCCTTGTTACCCTTGTTACCCTTGTTACCCTTGTTACCCTTTGTTACCCCTTGTTACCCCTTGTTACCCTTGTTACCCCTTGTTACCCTTGTTACCCCTTGTTACCCCTTGTTACCCTTGTTACCCCTTGTTACCCTTTGTTACCCTTTGTTACCCTTGTTACCCTTGTTACCCTTGTTACCCCTTGTTACCCCTTGTTACCCTTTGTTACCCTTTTTACCCTTGTTTCCCCTTGTTACCCTTGTTACCCCTTGTTACCCCTGTTACCCCTTGTTACCCCTTGTTACCCTTGTTACCTTTTTTTCCCCTGTTACCCTGATTACCCCTCTTTAGAATTCCATTGTTTAAAAAAACCAAAATTAAGAATTGTAATTTTTTAAAAAAGGACGAATGTAGATTTCCAAGATTTGGTTAAAGCCAAAATTAAGAATTCTAATGTGTAGAAAAGACGAAGTTTGGAATTTCAGTGTTTGGAAAAGGCTGAATTTAGAATTTGAATGTTTGCAGAAAGCCTACATGTAGAATGTCAATGTTTGGATAATCGAAAGTTTAGAATTTTAACATTCGGAAAAAGCCAAAATTTAGAATTCCAATGTTTAGAAAAGGGTAAATTTAGAATTCCAATTTCTCATTCTTGTTGCTCGTCAGTACGGTGCAACAAACAGAGAAGCTCTGCTGAAAAATACCTGTTCACTCTTGTTTAAAGCCCTGGGCCGAGTTGTTCAAAGCTGGGTTAAGATAACCCAGGGTTAGTGCGAGATTTGAATTCAGATTTGAAAGCTTAAAAAGCATTTCAGTTTTAATTCTTTTTGTCTACAAGTTGATGATTGGAAGCTTTAAAAATAACAGAGAAAATTATCCGAGAAAATACTTTTGAACATAAGAAAAAGGAAACCGGGGTTAAATTTAACCCTGGGTTAAGCTCT